ACTCTCTGCATGATAGATTAAAGTGTGCAGCTACATAGCCACAGGAAAAAATATTTACTTCGTCTGGGTGAAAAATTGTATAGGCCAACTTGTTTAACCAAATGTCCCGAGCGACACAGGTAAATAACAATTGATAGCTGAAGACAACTCAAGAAGGAGAGAAAACTCTAAACAACTGTAATCCTGCAAATTGTTCTTTGAAAGGTATGGAAAGGCTATCAAATCAAATGAGGAAATAAATTATTAGTTAACTAGCCTTGTTGTTCAAAATAGTTTAACACTTAATAATTACATATGTCGGAGGAAATATTTAAGTTCAAATATATCAATTTAAATATATGAATATTATATATGTTCTTTTTTTTGGAATATGTATGAAGATATGCAAATCTGTGTACGTTGAGTTGGTTTGATTGACTCAAAGGTAAATGTGTTGTTTTTTTTTTTTTAAATCTAAATACAGTGGTAGGGGACTGAGTGGTCCAGCGGGAACGGTAATTTCTCCAAGGTTGAGTAAGGCCATTACTAGCAATACCTGAGACAGTTACTGTTACTAAGAAATTTGTTGCAACCGTTACTGTCGTATATATTGGTCGCCTAATAAGCGTAATATTAAACTAAGTCAACATTATGTTACCTAGGTTTTTCATAAGTGCATTTGGACTCTCCAGATGACATGATTTTACCTGATCTCGGGGTATAACTTATGTAAATGTGGGCACGACTTTCAGGCTAAAGTTCTGTTAGCTTGTGTAAACACAGTATTAGATAATGTAAGGTTTTCCCAGCAGATAATAGTTTTGTACATGTAGTGTTGGTGCATTCAGTTCATAGAACTCATGTGTTTTACATCTTCTGTATGCAACTCTCAATATTTTATGCCGTGTAGTTATTAACATTAATTACATAATTACTTATTTTAACTAAGAAGTCTAATCTTTCGCCAACTAACTGCAACTGTGAATTTGGCCTTTTTGTCAGCAACGATAAAAATAATAATTTAATCCTACTCCAAGAAAAATTTAGCGAAAAAAACCAAATGAAAGTTCTATAAAAGTAAAATTGTTGATAGTCTGGACTACTGCAGACATCAAGGTACTCACACAGGAGAGTTCCAACAAGGAAACTTGAAAACATTGAGTTTTATGTCATGTTTGTTTACATTGTCAAAGATAAAAAAAATCGTGCTTGTTATTTTAAACATTGTTTAATTACAAAAAAATTGAAATATGAAATATATCCAACAGCTCGACAAAAAAAAAACAAGTTTTTATAACATGTTTGATTTACTCGGTAACGACTTTTAAAATAATTAAAAAGTATATCGTGTGATTTCGGGTTGGGCGGTATTAGCATAGTGCGAGAGAGAGATAGTTCACTCGATTTCTAAACAAGGGTTCACGGTCATAGGTTCGAGTCACTTGGAAGAAAGTGTATTTTACTTGTTTTTATTTTGTTTTTTTTGTTTTGTTTTTTAAATTAGCATTTAAATTGTATCATATTAGTATGTGAGCTTAGCTATCGCATTTTTATAACTAAATAAATAATGATTTAAAATGATACTCTGTGTTTCTGCATAATTTCAGATTATAAGACCGCCCTGTTCTTTGTGATAAAAATTTGATTAAATTAATAAACACTGATTAATAAATAATATGTCCGTTGTAATGTATTGCTAATTGTGTTTAATACTAATACCAGAGTGTTGATCTTGAGCTATTACAAACTGTTTACCAGGGTATGTTGGTCAATTCATGCTTTTTTAAAATTATGTAATATAAATCTCTTTAAGCAATCCTTCAAAGTTGAGATAAAGTAAACGTATGCAGGGTAAGCAACTCTTTCAATTTAAAAAAAAAGTTGATTCAGCCATTGAATAACTTTTCCCCCTTATTGCCAATGATCACTTTATAGAGTCCTAAATGTGTATGTTCTAAATGCCGAATGATAACGAAAAGCTTATATAAAACACCGAGACTTTTTAAAATAAAGATTATTGTTATTTTAATCTTGTTTAATCTATTTGAGTCATGTCTCGGCAATAGAAAGTTTTACTCGTGTGTTATGGGCCTTTGGTGTCAACATATTTTAATCAATTTAACCTATTACCCGTCAGGATATTTTATACAACAAGAAAGCTGCACAAACTGTTTTTTTATACAACGGCGGTAGCTGGTGAAATATTCTACTGACAACTGTCATTGTAGGTCATAGTGCCATTCTAGGCTGTACTGTATGCAGTCTTGTGAAGGGGAGGGGGGAGACCTACTTGAGATACACGCGGCTGATTACTTCATACACTTACATGTAAAGTTCTATAGAAGCAGCGGTGTGGAGTGTCTAACGGGGTGAATGGTGAAATGAAAGTTTTATAGAAGCAGCGGTGTGGAGTGTCTAACGGGGTGAATGGTGAAATGAAAGTTTTATAGAAGCAGCGGTGTGGAGTATACTCACGGGGTGAATGGTGAAAAGAAAATTTCATTTTCACAACGTTTACCCCGTGAGGATGCTTCACACCGTTGCTTCTATAGAACTTTCATTTCAAATCTTACAACGTTAGAATCACGGAGCAGACATTTCGCCTTCGGCTGTTTTTGTAGCCGTACTTTTAGCTGTCGTTGTAAATACTGAGATTCTCATGGACTTCCTGGTACTTAGAGAGGTAGGGTTGGATGGAAATCTGCCAACCTCGGACAATAAGACGTCAGGACCAGTGAGATGAGGTGTAAACTATGCGCGAATGACCGCAACACTCCATAAAACTCGGACATAGATGGTACTCCGGAAAAAAAAGATGAAAACTGTCTTGATTCTTGAATGATCTCAATCTAAACACTCCATAAAACTCGGACATAGATGTTACCACCAAGACACCTGCAACTGAAAAGTCAACGTGACATCAAACCTATTGACTCGGTATTTTTGTCATCAACAGGAGACTCGAATTGTTGCTTCTATTTAATGTTGCAATCGATTAAGCATTAGTTAAAACTGGTTTTTCCCTGGCTTACTAGTTTACTTATAAATTATTCTAGCTTTATTTTATTCAATAGGATCTACAGAGAATAGGAAATCACCCTAATAATGCATTACTGTACTAGAAAAGAAAAAATTCAAAAAACAAATTTAACTTGCGTAAAAAAACAGGGTGTTGTGTAAGTAGTGTTTGTAGTTACTTTCCAGGTAATAGATGTCAGTTGATAGTATGTTTATAGTGCGAGTAATGTAAAGTGGTGCGAGTAATGTAAAGTGGTGCGAGTAATGTAAAGTGTGCGAGTAATGTAAAGTGTGCGAGTAATGTAAAGTGGTGCGAGTAATGTAAAGTGTGCGAGTAATGTAAAGTGGTGCGAGTAATGTAAAGTGGTGCGAGTAATGTAAAGTGGTGCGAGTAATGTAAAGTGGTGCGAGTAATGTAAAGTGGTGCGAGTAATGTAAAGTGGTGCGAGTAATGTAAAGTGGTGCGAGTAAAGTGGTGCGAGTAATGTAAAGTGGTGCGAGTAATGTAAAGTGTGCGAAAATGTAAAGTGTGCGAGTAATGTAAAGTGGTGCGAGTAATGTAAAGTGTGCCAGTAATGTAAAGTGTGCGAGTAATGTAAAGTGATGCGAGTAATGTAAAGTGTGCGAGTAATGTAAAGTGGTGCGAGTAATGTAAAGTGGTGCGAGTAATGTAAAGTGGTGCGAGTAATGTAAAGTGTGCGAGAAATGTAAAGTGGTGCGAGTAATGTAAAGTGGTGCGAGTAATGTAAAGTGGTGCGAGTAATGTAAAGTGTGCGAGTAATGTAAAGAGTGCGAGTAATGTAAAGTGTGCGAGTAATGTAAAGTAATTAAATATGTACGTATTGACCGCTATGAGAAAAATGAAGGGATCCTTCTATCGCTGGTCCTTTTGACGGGGTCGATTGATAAGACGATCGACGAGGCGAATTTGGTAGGGCGGTTTTGTCACAGGCCTTTAGTGGAGCTCTTGAACGTTCTTACACTATTAGAAGTGATCTAACGCATAAGGATTTTACTTTCTATTCACAGAAATCAAAAGTACATGTATTTAAACACAAACGTAGATAAAAAGTATCCGATGTCTCGCCATAAGTTTCCCTAATCACGTTACGCTTCCGAGAAGTTCTAAATAACTTAAATCAATTAAAATGTATTTAATGTATATTTATGCTTAACATGATATAAAGAAATTACATTCACTTAATGCACTATTAGCAATAATCATTTGCTGAATAGCCCAGTCATGCCGTGCAAAAAAATCAGGTAGTGTTGTTAATATGTCTTTGATACTTGAATCCGATTTGTTTATTTGTTCAAATTATACCAAGATTTAAAAGCGACTTGACCAGTATCGCAACATTGCATTATTTGTGAATATTACAAAATGTGTTTGCTCAACGGACTATAAATATCAGCAGTGCTATGTATTTTATCCAATCATTGGATCACACCATTGAACGTGAAGGTAAAGTTTTTATTAAAGTTGGAATACTATATATATATATATATATATATATATATATATATATATATATATATATATATATATATATATATAAAAGCTTTATGTTTAAATCGCATTTTAAAGTAATTTTAACGTGAAACATGCAGTTGCGTGTAGTTTTTAACACACTCCGTTCATATTCAGCTGTTGTCCGATTACAACCTAAACAAATCTGTTCTACAATCTATTCTTTATACATCTAACCCTAAGTCAGTTTAAACATAAATCTTATTTTAGTGAAGTATACGAACAGTTTTTGTTTTAAAATTTCTCAGCGTTACTGTTCATGATAATGACAACATCAAATGTGAAAGTTCTCTATGAAGATGCATTTAGGAATCAAAAATCGTAAACAATAAATACACTCGGCATTTCAGTGGTGTAAAAGTTAATTAAAGATCTGTTACATTACGTTTAAAGATAAATACATGTACACATATTTTTAAACTGATATGTGTACACACCAAAACATTTTCCAGACAGAAGCCCATCTTACAGAAATAAAATGTCAAAGACGACAAATATGTCGACCTGGACATTTAAACAAATGGTATCAGCTGTGTTTGTTTTCAGCGCTTGTATACAAAGTGAGTAAAATTTAATCAGCTGGTAGGCTATGGGAAAAAACGTAATTAATAAGGCTTATTTACTCATGGTTGTATATCTTTGTTACTGTACTAAAAACAAAATAATGGAATGCTACAGGGATTTTTATGAAAGTATGGTTACTATTGCAACGGCGACAATCACGGAACGATGAAATACCATTAAAATTAATGCTAAATTTTCTGGTATTTCGCTATTTCCAATTTTTAATGAAAGATCTTTAGAACAAGATATGAGGTGTTCTCATGAAGTTTATGGTGAAACGAAATGTCAATATATGTGTTCCTATCCACAAAGATCGCAGTATTGCATTATTTGTGTGAATTTTACAAAGTCGGCTTGTTCAACGGGCTTTAAATATCATCAGTTACGTGTATTTTATCAAACCATTTGATCACACCATTGAACGTGATAGTAAGGTCATTCTACAAGCAAGAACATGTAAAAATACACATACACACACACACACACACACACATATATATATATATATATATATATATATATATATATATATATATATATATATATATATATATATATATATATATATATATATATGTATATATTCATTCATTCATTCATTCATTCTACAAGCTAGGACATGTAAAAATACACACACACATATATATATATATATATATATATATATATATATATATATATATATATATATATATATATATATATATATATATATATGTATATATATAATAAACTTCTCAGATGTCGCCGTGGGTAAAAATGTCGTGTGTTACTTCAACAACTTGGCGCAGCATCGACCGGGAAGTGGGGCGCTGTTCGCTAGGGACATCAACCCTGACTTGTGCAGTCACGTGATCTTCGCCCATGCCCAGCTGTCTGGGAACATTGTCTTACGGAGCCAGGAGAACGACGACACAACTGATGGCCAGTAAGACTGGTGTCTGGTGACATGGTCAACGACATGGAGCTACCACACATGGGTGACATCAATAGTGTCACTAGGCTGGGGCGGGGAGGAGTGGGTCACTCAATTTAGCTGTGACTCACTCAGATACAGCAGCGAGTGACGCCCGACTCACTGACGCCCGACTTAGTGACGCTCGACTTAGTGACGCCCGACTCACTGACGCCCGGCTTAGTGGCTGAGACTGTATGACTAACAGCCCATACTTGCACTGCATGACTGTAAAGCTACGAATTCATACATATTATAATTTACTGTCGTGGTACGTAAAAAAAAGCGAGAGTGATCTCCCCTAAACTTTCTCGCAAATTGCATTTTCTAAATAGAAATGTGTGTATGATAAAACTTTATAAAGCATTGATTAATTTTCAAAAAGTTAATATATAATTCAGCCAAATTTTATGTCAAAATGCATTGTTAGCGAGTCAAGAACATCGTGAATTTTTTGTAGAAATCGGTCTAGTAGAAGTCATATTTGTTCAGAAATCAGAAATAGCGTAACAAAATACTTTCACTTACCAGAAATCCCTCAAATGTTGAGCGAATCAATAGAATAACATCGTATACCTAGATTTACAATTTGAAACGATACCCAAGTTATCGGTAATTTAGAAACAAAAATAGATTTAATTACCACTTCCTATTTCAAAATTTGATAGAAACACGCGCATGTAATGTTATACTTGTGTGTGAAATCTAGTCCACCTACCTTAAACGGTACCCAAATAATTGGCTTTTGAAAAACCGGAAGTAGAGTAACGACGAATTCCGACTACTGGAAATCGTTAAAAAATGCAACAGAAATACACATTTAATATACTGCTAACATGTAAATTTCTTTATTATAACTGAAAGTGTTCTCACAGAAAGACACACAGGCATGAAGACTTAATTGCAACACTAACTTTTGCCGATTTCAATTTTTAGCACGATTACAATACTTTCTCTGTACTTCCTATACGAGAAAGTAACAGCAATTGTGTGATTCTTGTAAAACGATTGTTTCAAAGATGGAGACAGCTAACCAGCCTGAAGAATCGTAACCCCAGCTTGAAGACACTGTTGTCGGTGGGGGGGATGACCCAGGGACCAGCGCCATTTTACACCATGTCCAGCAGCAAGAACAACAGGCTAGAGTTCATCAACACCACCATTTTGCTGCTGCGGAACTTTGGATTCGATGGCCTTGACATTGACTGGGAATATCCTGGCGATATTAGTCCTTTAGACAAGCCCTTTTTCACAGCTCTTATTAAGGTCATTGTTCAGATGATGGTTTCTTTCAGATATTTTTCTCTGGGGTGCATTTGAAATTTCGGGGAGGAGGGAGGAGGCTAAGGAAGAATGGTTAAAATACACTTTTTAAATAAATTATAAAAATTATATTTTTCTTTTTCTTCTTTCTCTATGCGGTCGGCGTACTATATGGAGAAATATCTGAAAAAAAACTCTGAATAGCATACATTTAATTTTTATTATTTCTTTTATTTATCTGTAGAGAGTATTACGTGTTTAGCTATTCTCCAATAAAGTCCGTTTACGTCCGTTTATAATTTAAAATTTATTTATTTATTTTTGCCAGGAACTTAGAGACGCGTTGGATAGTGAAGTTTTTTCTAGCGGTCAGCCCCGTCTTCTGCTGAGTGCTGCCGTACCTTCTGCCATAGACAAGGCATCTTTGGGCTTCAATGTCACGGCATTAGACACGTGAGTGACGTCACATATATTTTATTACGTCGTACCTCGTGAGCCCTTGTTGATGGTTGTGTCATCTGTCTTGTGTCTCGTTACAACCAGGTATTTGGACATCATCAACATCATGACGTACGACTACCACGGCCCGTGGGAGGCTGAGACTGGCTTGGCTACACCACTGCATTATGGTGACGGTCTGGATGTGGTGAGTACCTGACACAGTTGTAGTGGTGGTTACCGTTTTTAGTAACTGTAGCAGCATGCAACTGTTGTTGTAGATGTAGTGGTAAGCTGCTGTTGTAGATGTAGTGGTAAGCTGATGTAGTAGATGTAGTGGTTAGCTGATGTTGTAGATGTAGTGGTAAGCTGTTGTTGTAGCTGTAGTGGTAAGCTGCTGTTGTAGATGTAGTGGTAAGCTGCTGTTGTAGATGTAGTGGTAAGCTGCTGTTGTAGATGTAGTGGTAAGCTGCTGTTGTAGATGTAGTGGTAAGCTGCTGTTGTAGATGTAGTGGTAAGCTGCTGTTGTAGATGTAGTGGTAAGCTGCTGTTGTAGCTGTAGTGGTAAGCTGCTGTTGTAGATGTAGTGGTAAGCTGCTGTTGTAGCTGTAGTGGTAAACTGTTGTTGTAGCTGTAGTGGTAAGCTGTTGTTGTAGCTGTAGTGGTAAGCTGCTGTTGTAGATGTAGTGGTAAGCTGCTGTTGTAGATGTAGTGGTAAGCTGCTGTTGTAGATGTAGTGGTAAGCTGCTGTTGTAGATGTAGTGGTAAGCTGCTGTTGTAGCTGTAGTGGTAAGCTGCTGTTGTAGATGTAGTGGTAAGCTGCTGTTGTATATGTAGTGGTAAGCTGCTGTTGTAGATGTAGTGGTAAGCTGCTGTTGTAGCTGTAGTGGTAAACTGTTGTTGTACCTGTAGTGGTAAGCTGCTGTTGTAGATGTAGTGGTAAGCTGCTGTTGTAGATGTAGTGGTAAACTGTTGTTGTACCTGTAGTGGTAAGCTGCTGTTGTAGATGTAGTGGTAAGCTGCTGTTGTAGATGTAGTGGTAAGCTGCTGTTGTATATATAGTGGTAAGCTGCTGTTGTAGCTGTAGTGGTAAGCTGCTGTTGTACCTGTAGTGGTAAGCTGCTGTTGTTTCAGTCTAAAGTAATCTGTATATGACCTGTCGACATCCATTATAATTTATGTCATCTTCGCCCCTCCCCCCCCCCACCTCAGGCCACTACTGTTGACTGGTATAAACAAAATGGCGCCAGCACAACCAAGATTCATGTCGGGTTGTCGTTCTTTGCCCGTACGTGGACGCTGAGCGACTCGTCCAGCACACATGTTGGAGCTGCTGCTAACGGAGGCGGCACCAGTGGCACCTACACCAGCGGAGGCGGCACCAGTGGCACCTACACCAGCGGAGGCGGCACCAGTGGCACCTACACCAGCGGAGGCGGCACCAGTGGAACCTACACCAGCGAGCCGGGGGTCTTGGCCTACTACGAGGTGAGGCAACCATTGGCTTACATGCCTTAAAGATTTCCAGGTGAGGTTAAATGTTAATATTTAACCCCATCTGGAAATCTTTAAGGAAATCTGTCGTGCGAACGATCGCGTGATTTATGTTTGTTGTGTTTCCGGAGCCGACTGTCTTATGTCCCACGGTCCACCTAACATTGTGCAACGTCCCAAGGTCAACCTAACATTGACATCTTAGGGTCCACAGCACTAATAAATAAATGAATCAAACTCTTTCAGATTTCCTTACTGCTAAACTTAACTTCGTCGTCTCTTAATAAGAAATTGGACTGAACACGGTTTCTCTTCTGATGTTTCCATAGGTATGTAGTTTGATAGGCGCGGGCTACACGGTAAAAACAGACCCAGTTGGCCAGGTGAAATATGCTTACCTGGCCAATCAGTGGATGACGTATGAGGACAGAGATACTCTTAACGTCAAGGTATGTTGGTTAAACGATGGGTCAGTTATGTACATCTTTTATGGTATACGACACAAACAGCAGCAACACTGTCAGAAACACAACGACACATAAACAAGATACAGATTTACTGAAAATATAGTTACGACTGTAAACAGAAAGGACAACAGACCAAGCTCATCATATTGTCACACAAGAACAATAACTGAGGTTTAATCGCCTCTTTTGTTTCTAGTATACCAATGTTAACTGTAAACAAACTCAAATTGAGCCATTGAGGGCACACTGTAACAGTTGTCGAAGGTCTTCTTGTGTTACCTCCAGCTCGAGTGGATCCAGAGAAACAACTTGGGCGGGGCGGTGGCGTGGGCTCTAGACATGGACGACTTCAGCAACCAGTTCTGTAACCATGGCAACTGGCCCCTCCTGAGCCAGGTGTCCAGCAAACTTTCTAGCCCTACCACGTGAGTTTGGTTCCATTCGCATTTCTACGCCCTCAGAGTTTCTTTCGTACATTTCTACTTGGAATTCACTGCCCTCCCCCCCCCCCCCCTCAATCCGCTTGAGCAAGTTCACAGTCCCCTTCCCTGCCCCGCAAAAAAAAATATCTGAAAGAAACCATGTACGTCCCTAAAACGTTAGTTTAGATTTGCATGGGCTTTTTTCTTCACCAGTTGTGGCAGTGAAAGTACGTCATAATTTAAGTAATTAACAATGCTAGTGATGACAACAATAGGCTAATTAAAGGTGGCAAGAGTATGTCAAAAGATATCTAAATGGATGTTCAAAAACTGCGTTATTACAAAAAATATGATCAGTACAATAAACGCGGAATCATTTCTAAATGATTCATAACATTACATAGCATTATAGCGAACGATATATTAATAAAATAAATCTAACTCTAGTGACAGTTAATTTTACTAAACTATCAAAAGTGAATGATATATTAGTTAGTGAATTCTAAATTATATCATTGATACTTACATGATTTAAAGACGTGTTGTCAAAGCGAAAGCTAAAGAAAACATTTTTTTTAAACGATGCTTAAATGTCATGTGTTGACTAAATAACAGATATTTTCTGTCATGCTCCAGCTCCAACCCAACATCTACCACGCCATCACCAACAGCCATTCGGACATCATCAGCAGCGAGGGACACAGGGGCTACAACTGTATCAACCACGACCACAGACAACTCAGCCGTGACTAAGATTACCAATGTCTTACTTCTCTCCCTTCTACTCGCTCTTCCTTCACTTGTACTTAACCTCATGCAATAGCTGAAACTATCCCACATACGTTAGTTGATGTATATATATATATATATATATATATATATATATATATATATATATATATATATATATATAATTGTATAACATAATTTAATAGCTTTATATCTTATCCATGGCTTGAACAAGAACTACATGAAAATCATGCACGCCTAACAAAACATGTTAAATTCTTATGATTTGTATATAATCTTGTCTAGTTCACTCAATAAATATGCCCTGTAAAATGTTTACATTTCTACGATGACTAACTTTTAACTAGATGATTTGCTACAACCGATGCATAAAGTATAACGTACTGATATAATTTTGTCTCTATAGGTGTTATATTTTAAAATAGCTTCTGATCGTATCATTTTAAAATTTCATGATTTTTTTTATCAATCTTTTATTTAACTTGCATTTCAATCTGCCATGCCTTTGTCTGACATCAAATTTGTTTTTATACGATGCCTAATTAATTTTTATATGAATTGATTAGATTTAATTTAAAATACGGACAAAATCATGACAGAGAAAGCAAGTTAAAAAAAAAGCTTGTAAAAAAGTTGTAATAACAAGCTTTTGTATAATTATTCACTAAAAAGACGAAAATAAATGATTTTCTTAAAATATATAATGATACCCTATTTAAATAACTGTAAAGAAAAGAGTGGGTCACTATATAATCTATTGAACACCTATACTAAAATTTTAGAAGCGATCCATGCTTTTCTTTAAGCATTGCTTATTAATTCTGTCAAAAAAACGAATATTTAAATAGAAGTGAATTTGTATTTTGTTTTCTTTTATAAATAGATTTCGTTCGTGACACTATATCAATAAATTGTCGGTTTCCGAAATTAAAACAATGACAGTTATCTTTTTAATATCATTTATGTAGTTGATATTCCTGATTAGCAAAAAAGCACAAGTCATAAATAAAACAAAAATATCTTTATAACAATGAGCTTTAAAATTTATTGGAAATAAAAAAGTAAATCTAATTTGCTTGCTCCAATAAAATCATTAGTTGCCAAACATTTGAGGGGATTTCATTCGCGAATAAAAGATAAAAAAATTATCAAAAATATAAGGAATCTCATAAATAAAATTATAAATTAGATGTAAGGTATGAAAAACAAAAACAAACGAAAAGCAAATAAAAAAAAACTAATGAAATTAAATCGAAAAAACCACCATAAAACAAAATCCGTTAGTTTTAAAAATACTTTTAAATAATTAAAGTATAAAATAATCTAAGGGCTGTAAGCATTAGGAACAACTGTTATAAAAATAAATCAACAATCTCTAGCTCGACAGATTGTTTTTGTCGTAGGAAGCAGAAGCAACGTCATCATCGTTTAAATTATTCAGACGTGTAAATTCTGCATGGCCAAGATTCTTCTTACATTTTGACAGGTGTGTGTAGGCCTATGGATATCGTATTAACATGCAAAACATTACTTCAGTGTACTATACAGATAAATAACAATCCTTTTATTACCGTAAACATGTGTTTTGCTGATAACATTTACAAAGTAGATTAATAAGAATTAACGATTGAATCAATCTTCTCCAATTGTCACAACCACCCCATTTTTAGACCTGTTGCTAGGCAAGCTTACAATATACAAAATATACTAATTACCATGGCTATTTCCATCAAATGTTTAACAAATAAAGTCCTAAGTAGGTCAGTCCTGTTCCAAAATCTACTAGACCTTGACCCGAGACACAAACTTGGATGACGTCCCCTGTCTGGAGGCTGAACACACCGCCTAAGTGTATTTTTTTACGAATAGATATTCATTAAGAAAATAATACTTTTATGTTGAGTAATAAACGTGCCCGAAACACATTTACCAGAATGTTCATTGAGGCAAATGTCCATTCAGACAATTTTCCGAAGCGTGCAAACGTCTAATTCAGAAAAACAGCGTGTCTGTCATACAAGTAGAATAAAACAAATGCAGGATCCTCTTACAGTTTAAAATATAACATTACACTTTATTTTTCTGCATCTAATTTTTAATAAACAATCGTGTGAGCATTAACTGTACTTTCGTTTATATTTTTATTACGTAATTTTATGTTAAATCAACATACCTGGGACACATGGTACAAAGTCTCACCTGTATAAGCCGTCTCCCGACTACCTGTACAGTTGCTACAACAGGTGTGAACAGTTCTCAATAAGACGCCAGATAAAACTGGGCTGGTGGCTGATCGTCTACTGATATACTGGAACCACGTCTGCGGAAAAAATAAAAACCTATTGACTAACAAATTGTGAAGGCCTTAATTATAATTTGGTTTTGTGGTTTATCATATTGCTATTTTATTCTACATGTGAAAGAGTGGTGGTAAAAAGATTTTTTTTTTAATTATTTGCTACAACTCGTTCGATTTGATTTCTTTGCACAAATTAATAGTCTCTTACATTTCTCTATCTGATGCCATTTAGGAAATGTGTATAATTATTTAATTTTTTTTCTCAGCAGTAAAGGTTTTAAATATTATTTAATGATCTTCTTTTTCTAAAAGTCTTTTTGTGCATTGTTCTGTGAGTGTAGGCGTTGGAATTGTGATATTTTATAACGTTATATTTTAATTGTAATTTCCACACTATTTTAGTATTAAGCATCTTACCTGATAATGAAATTCCGCAGTGTAACGAGTTGAGTTAGGTTTAAAGTTAACGTTACTGTAAATGTAGTACACACCTGCGTAAAGAAATCAAAACAAAAACTGTTGAAATAGTGTAAATTGAAAACAAAATCATTAAATCGTAGAAAACAATCAGTCCAAATACTCACCTGGGTATAAAATCTTGATTCCCTCCCGTGTGATGTTGACGCCTGTAGCGTGTTGGTGGATGTTGTCTGTTGCTTGTTCGTTTAACTCAAGGATTGAGTGGCTTGTTGGGTTAAAGATGGGGTCTTAGAAATACCATTACAATACCATGTAAGGATGGAAACGGTTTAAATTTAAAATACGTTGTTGTATAATGTATTTTAATGTAATTAAAATGTAATTAATGTACTTAATGTAATTCTGTGAACGTTTTCTACACATGCATCATCATCAGAATACTATATGAATTAGTCTATGTATTGTATGTTTTTTTATCTTAATCTACGTGTACAAATACATTCAATTGGTCACCTTTGCTATTATCTGTGCCAGGAAATCTGACAGATGGAAAGAGACGAACATGGGCAGACACAAGAAATTGTTGGTTTAACGGAATTGCTGTTTGATTTACATATTCAAAACATGTTATTTTATGTATGCAGATTAACGTAAATGATATGTAGATGTATGGGTATAAATACGAATAAATATTGTTGATTTTAAATTTGAAAAGTGTAAAACCTTAACACATTCTTAAAAAAGAAAATAATTTCTAGCCTGTGTCTTTTCTCTGTTTTTCTAGTAAGGTGTGACTTCGTATACGATGCGATGCCACAAAATTAAACTGAAAACAATTGTTAAAAAACAGTCAGTTGTTTCTCACAAGTTTTACTTTAAAAATAATACAACTGTCCTTAGAGTAAAACGTAACTTACATTGTCTATGTTTAAGTTTGTGCTGGTTACGATGGAGCGAACAAAGACACAAGTGGCAACAGCAATTGAAAGCAGCGACAAACACAACCTAATTCTGCCTTGAACGAATTTGATGAGAAAACAGAAAGCGTTACCAAACACTTACAGAAATAGTGTCATGCAATTTTAATGTATGATAAACTTCCGTATTAAAGATAACATGGTACAAAACCGACCTCATTCTAAAAATCAAAGTGTTTTCCTCATGTAATTGTTTTTATTTTTTGTGTTTGACGTAAAATATAATGACATGAAAGATCTTAGCTTAATGTATAACACAAAAATTCAAGAATGTATGAATAATTACTTAGTTTTTAAATTTAATTAATAATCAATACCGTCATGGAACCTACTAAGAATTATCTCCAAAGTTCCATTTAAAAAATTTAAAACTGTTTGCGCCGTTATGAAAATAAATGTGGATATACAAACTGTATTGCGTGTTTTTTGTTTCTGACTTTACAAAGATTGGATGTATTTGATGCTTTTAGAGTTATCGGTAACCACACCAAATATTTAAAAGCCAAAAAGTTTCTTTTCATTTTATCAATCAGAAATTACGTCACATATTTTTTTAAAGTATAATTTGTCTATAAAAATTGTGTCGGTATATTATTTACTACAAATTACGACAAAGTTAGATTTTTCAGAAAATCGATTAGAGGGTTTTTATACTGCTAAGTATTGTATGTCTTACTTCAGGTTACTATTTATACTTGTTGAAAATAAATAGAAATGTAGTCTTGAGCGCAAAGATTTATTTTCAAGTTCTCCGGATTGGCAACTTTTATAACATTGATTCTTATAATATGAAACTTCAGAAAATGTTTAGGCTTAATTTTTTAATTCTTTAATTTACGGCAACCATGAAGGCAAAATTAATAAAAACACGATTTTTATCCATGTCAACAATAATGATCTCCATTGAACATGTATTAGTTTCTTTACTCAATGCAGCATACCTCCATGCTATTTGGGAACTGTTCTGTTTGCGTTTGGTGTCCATGCATCACCCCCAGGTCCTGGGATAAAAATAATATCAAACGTTCGTCATGAGGGTAAGCCAATATGGCATAATTAAAACGACTTGGGGATTTTGTTTCTGTGGGTGCTTCCATCACCTCCAGAGACAAGAGAAGACAGTCGTAAAACATAAAGTTTTAAGTTCAGCGCGGGATTACAGAAAAAGAATAAGTAGATCCGCATACATTAATTTTGAGAACAGAAGAAATGTTAGACTCTCACCCGTACGCACTGAACTATGCAGTTTATTTCAACTGGTATAGACTTAAAAAGCTGGTTCCAAATGGTTCTAAATTTGTGTTGCCAGAAAACATATTTTTCAACCAAAATTGAATATCTAATAACATTTGTGTAAGAAGTACAAAATTACTTCCGGTTTCATTAAGGCTAGAAATAGTCAAAGAAATAATTACTAGTAATAGGAATAGTAATTTAGCAAACACTTTTATTTTTAATTTGGATGTATAGTCAGGGTGTTGTGGTGATAAGGGATGTTATATTATTTAATATAAATTCAATACTATGCTATATACCATAGATCACTATTGTGTATTTTTATCATGGAGAACAATTGTTCTAGCTTTTATTGTTTTACTCTCCCTGGCCATTCCGGTAGACTTCATTGAGATGTTGAGGGCAGTTTTTGAAAATATTTGAATTGATAAAATAATTCTAAATGGCTTTTCAACGGCTTATATTCGATACAAAAATATACAATTAAGAGTAATCGATGGTTCCCAAACGGCTTTAATTTTTACAAATGTAATTATAATTTTATCGCTTGCCATATTTTTAAAAAGATTTTTTTTAACTTTAATATGATTGCATAGACTTTTCATGCCTATTGCGTTACCTCTTTATTTACAGGAAAGACAACTCATAACGTTTAAAAATATTAATAAACCGTTTATCTTTCGTCGACCTTTAAGAATTTAGAAAACGTATCAAGCGTCTTCCAACACACAACGGTACTGTGCATTCAAAAGTTTCTGTAAAAATGTGTTAAGTATTACAGAAAACAATTACTTAACAAATTATGATTAGGTTTTTTTTTTAAAAGTCTTTTTAAATTTAAATTTTGAAATAAATATAGCGTTTTATTGGAATGGATCAATTGACTAAGAAATTAAAGTTAATCGAATTTTTAAACAATTGTTGTATCTTTTTTCGTATTTAAATATTTTTTTGGAAAAAACTTCAATAAATTCATTTTAAAATGTAATATTTTTCTTTCTTTAACTGGGGAATTTTTTGGAGTATCAATAGAGTTATAAGTACCGACTCAAGTTGTTATTAAAACTAAGAGCTATCTTCTAAACACTTATTAGGCTACATCAGCAATAGCTGCATCTTAAACAGTTCTGATTCTGTATTGTTACTGTATTTATAAATCATTCAGCTCAGATGGTTTTTAATTGCCTTTAGTAAGGAAAATATTTGAATTTAATTCGCGATTGAAAAAATCTCAGTCGCATTAAGTTAAGCAGTTCGCATTTGAGATAATCTACAATTCAAGCCGCCAGTTTAGTTTCGCACTCATTTCGCATTTCCGTTCGTCCATCGTTATGGACACTGTCTTTGTTATTAAAGATGTGAAAGTGCTGTCGCGCGTGGAGAGTGGCTGGGCGCGGTAGACCGATCAAAGCGTGGTGTTCGGCAACGGTTCGGATTACGCGCGGTTTTGAGGAGGAGGGAAATATCGGCGGACGTCCGTGAAAGCATTAGCTCTTTTTTTTTTTTAACGTAGCTTAAGTTTCGTGAATATCCATATCTACAGCAAAGTGCTACCGCCACCCGCGCGCAACGCGGTGCGCTGAGTGAGTATCCATATCCACGCCAATGCGACACATACACATTGAAATCAGTTAGAGCTTTGCGTCATTTCTATCACTGCATCAAAGCACTGATATAAGCTAGTATACATATAATTCTATCCGTTGAGTAACCTTAATGAATTACAATTGACATCATATACATGCTATTGATCTATTTTAGCTTAAAACCTGCAAATAACAATTAATTTTAATGAAATATTAAAAGAAATAATTTGACTTCTTACTCTAACCTTACAACGATTGATTCGATTGCTGGCTGACGTTTATACCTGAGAGAAGCATCGTTGTATGAATATTACAATAAGCGGTGACCTTGTTCTTTTATATCAACACTTGTATAGATTGTTGGATTTTTCTAGAAAAATTATGTAGGCCTACCTCTTACAATACGCAAGTCTTAGGTTAAAGCTCGTTTGGCATTGCGTATCATACAACGTCATAGTTGAAATAAAACCTTTGTCAGCTTACATTGTTTCTATTGTTAGATTCACGCTCTGTTTAACAGCATTTGTGTGTAACGCAAGGGGCACGTAATGCATGCTCTGTGTAACTGCTATTTAATTCCTGTGTAACACGTTTTTCATAGGTGGTAGATATTTATGACGATTACATAAGGTCAGATCAATACGTACATTTATTATCACAGACTGTATGGATGTAAACGATTGTTAAGGTTTACCCTGAGCTGTATTTGCCGCATTACAATTTACATTTAAGGTGTGATGTAAGGGACCCTTTATTCTAAAAGAGGGATGCAGACATCCGACGGAAAAAAGTGTGTAGTCGTAACCTAAATATCACGTGGTTAGCCGTCAGTGTTGTTTACCTGAAAAACGCCATGCTTGTCATGTGCCCCCATTTTCTAAGAAAATATTAGTCAAATGAGAAATACTGGTTTCTTCCAGTTTTTTCTGTAACCGAATTTCAGATTTTTATCGACTTAGTATTTTTTTAGACTTTATCGTACAGGGTACACAATTTTGTTGTTTACCTGGAATTTTCTGGGAAATTATTTTTCAGCATTTATTAAACGTAAAATATTATTTAACACTAGAGTGCGTAACTTCAGCAAATATTTAACAGAAGTATTTTTTTAAAAGCTTGATAGAACAAAATTACAAGTTTAAAGATAACCATATACCATCGCTAGTAATGTATACATATCAAGGTGTTTAGACTTGTAATCTCTCTTTATTGTTTGTGTTTTGCGCTATTGATTGACATGTACCTTTAATTTGTACATAAATGTAGTCCTTGATTGTGTGTGTTGTTCAATGGATTGATAGGTTTTAACGTGTAGATTATCAGCTGACGTGTACGAATGTTAGTGTGAGACGGTTGGCAGTCGAGTTGTGAAGTGGGAGCTAGTAATGAGTGTCTTCTATAACATGTTATTATTTATCATTTTCTGTATTTATATTAAACATTGCTATTCCCCTTAATCTTTTTAATCATATTGAGTTGGCTACGAATTGAGTAGTCATATATTGTACGCCCTGTTTTTGTCTTGTCAAAATACCCCTAGACTTAACATTTGAGATCACGATTGGGGGTAGTAGTGAACGAGTGAAGGGGGATAAATGGGGGTGAATGTTGTTGTTACTTGGTACCCTATACCGTTTGTCCTTGTTCAGTTCTTGTGCTGTTAGTCCGGTTTGTACCGGTTTAAAAAAGGGTATATAAGGTGTATGAAAACGTGTGTGATGGCCTCAGTTTCGTCTAGATCTCCAAGGTTAGTACAGGTTAGGTTTAGACTAGTTTTTAGCCACTGTATCTTCGTTTACTAGCTTGTGTATGTTGTGTTTAGAATAGACTGTGTTAGGGGTCAACTACAACAATGGAAACAAAATAATCGGCGAGTTGAGAGAATTAGGCAAGCTAATTATTTCAATCCTCATCCTTATACAAATACATATCCATATCCATATATACATATCCATAATTAATTAATTGGAAGAGATTGTAGAGCGGTTTAAAGGTATATATAGATAATTATGTAACTGATAAAAACAAGAGTCGTAGAGATGTGGACAGGCTGACAATCATAGTGTCACATCCTCACGGCTGTTATAAGTAGGTCTCTGTAGGTCATTAGGTACACATACAGGAGGTGATGGGTAAATGGACCTGGTACACGTACACAATGTCTCTTTATGGTAGATTATCATAGTATATGCAAACAGTGCAAATTTTTTACTGTAATTAAAAATCATTACATACAAAATTTCATCTAACTTTTTATCTAATAAACTTACACGGTGCACGTTGCTGGCTCGTAGGAAAAAGGAAGTTTATTTTTCATCGCCATATAAGCAGTAGATATATTTTGAAAAAGAATCAGTAAAATGAAAACATATGAAAGGCTATGGGGTTCCAGAGAAACGTATTTCACTTATCCGACAACTATACCCAGAGGCGTCACGAGACGAAGCGGAGGTGACACCATGGCTAAAAGTTGCAAAATATATAGAAGAAAAATGTATTTTGCCAGTTCAATTAAAGATTAAATAGTTAATATACCTGTATTAATAACTTGCTATAGCTAAACATCTTTAACATATGTTGACGTCAGTTACATTTATCGAGAAATCAAAGAATGGTACAATAATTCGATAGTACTCAAATGTAATACTTTATAAATATAGCTAATTTTAGTAATAAAAAATTGAACCTATTATCTACGTTGGAGTGTTTGAGTGTTAGCTTTAAATAACACCCTGCGCAGTTATCGATCGCTGACAACACGGTGAACGGAAGAAAAGTCAGAGGAAATAAACCGGGAGTGATCTCCCCTAAACTTTCTCGAATATTTTTATATAAAAAACAGGGGATGGGAACTCGGGATATAGACATGAATTTTAATCCATTTTAAATGCTTTAACTTTTTAAAATAGAATAAAATATCGTAGAAAAAATAATTGCACACCAGTGAACGCCAAATAAAATGTGCATAATAGCGCGGAATATTATTAGTACTTTATAAATTAACATTAGATTTTGAGAAATCGGAAATAGCGTAAATTAGTACTTCCCGTCAACGGAAATTACTCAAATTTGACAGAAGGTAGAGAATTAGATCTTTTACTTACATGTGAAATTTCATTTAACTATCTGAAATAGTACTAAAGTTATAGGCTTTTGAAAAATTCAAAGAAGAAAAAGTATCACTTCCGGTTATCGGAAATCGCTCAAAAGTTGATAGTGATCTACGATTTCGATAAAATACTTATATATGAAATTTCATCAACCTAGCTGTAACGGTACTCAAGTTATCATGTTTACAGACACACACAGACACACACACAGACACACACACACAGACAGACATACACACAGACATACGGACAAGATTGCAAAATTATGTTTTTCCGTATCAGTGAGGTGTAAAATGTCGAGATTTGCAAATATCTCGATTTTTTTTTTTTTGCACGGTTACAAGACTTTCTCTATACTTCGTATATACGAGAAAGTAAAAAAAAAAACACAGAAAAAAGTCCCAGTTTTTGCTAGGAAAAAAAGTCACAGAAGAAAAAGCCACGAAGGAAAAAAAAACATCGGAAAAAAAGTCACAGAAAAGAAAGTCACAGAAAAAAGTCACAAAAATCTTTTAATAAATATTTTTATTTTAATTGTTGAGAATTGTAAAATTTTGGGTTTTTATTGATTTTGAGCTTTTTTTTTTTTTTTGTAGCATATTTATAAACGTTAGAAGCATTATGGTTTATAACACTGATTAGTAAAAATACTGTAACGTAATTTACACATCAACTATAACTTTTGTAATGTATGTAGTTAAATACGCTCCACAAAGGTTAATTATAGACGAAATTTAGGCAATTCAATGTGTGTTCTTTTTTACGTTCCTTGGTTGGCTTCTCCTTGTCCGTCCATATTTTGTAGTGTTTGCGTTTTGCGTCAATGACAGCGTTTGTACCGTGTCGGGTTTCTGTTTTGATCCTATGCTTTGTTATGTACTGAGCGTAATAAATGTGGGCAGTATAGGTGGTTGGCCTATTGTAGTGATGAGTTGAGGGGAGCAAGTCACATTAACTACGTCTTTATGCCATTTAGCGCTAATTTGAATTTAGTATTTAACAAACACAAGAAAAAAGAGAACGATGAAACTTTTTATTAAATTCTATGAAATATTATATGTATAATGGAATTAAAACGTAAATATTTCACACTAATATTACGTGTGTTCTAAATAACACTATACGTATACAACCTACGCACATTTTTATTATATTTAATTAATCTAAGTTGATTTCCACATTCTGAATATTTAATACATAAAAGTATTAACAAATTCCATGCAAATATATATTTTTTACTTTTTTCCTGTGACTTTTTTCCTACACTCCACAACACAGCTATTCAAACCCTCAGTTTTGTGCTAATCTTTCGAGCTGTCGGCAGAACAAAGGGCGTGTTTGATTTTTCCATTGGACTTTGCTCTTTGTTTTCATTTGGTAGACAGATAACATAGTAGGTAAACACAGAAACATTACGTACGTCGCCGTGTAAACTCATACTTCCTGATTGACTAGTTTAGGTTTTAGAAAGGGTGAAAGTCAGTATTTAAAGAGCAAAAACGTATAAGTTCCGAAGCATTTTTATTTTAACTCTAGAGTGTCGTAAATTTACTTCCGGGAACCATGATGGCGAAAAGTTTTGCATCTGCAAGTAAGGAGAACAAAGTAACCACGGTCGCAGGAGATGACATTAGGTCGATTACCATATCAAAACCTTTAGGTACGTACGTAAATAATAGCTGCTAATGTTAATTCTGAAGTTGTTTTTTTTTTCCTAATCTGATCGGCAAACGTATTGGATATTGAGATAATATTAAGTCACGGTCAAAGCCAAAAGTGCGGTCAAAGCACGCATTGGCCGGCTCTCTTGACCAAAGCCCGAAGAGCTTAGCACTGAGACCGTATTTCGTACATTGGCCGGCTAATGCGCCGGGATGTCCTGGCCAATGTCCTATCTAGACTAAGTTGTGATTGTGTTTCATTATTCTGGATACGGTTTCATTGTCAGTAACGTATTGTTTGGCAATGCGAGATGAACCAAAAGGGCCATCAGACCAAGAGACAGACATACCAGATGGCTACCAAATATTTCTGAACTAAAGAACATGTGGCCTGAACTTTAACTAGTTCACTTAAAACCAAGGCACAGCCAAAGCCAAGGTTCAGAAAAACGTGCCAACCAAGATGTTCAAAATATGATGATGACATGGGTGTAGATAAATGAATCAGCTCATTGGGCTGAAAGTCTCACATGTATTCAATTTATGAACTATGTCCATGCAATATGCGAATAAACCAATAAAGCAGGTGAAGGGTACGGAGGGAACATTACTTGCAGATTATGTCCAAATAAACAATAAATCATGGACAACAGGTCAGAAGCTCATACTAGCTTGCAAACTCGAGGTGCTAAGATGCAAACTAAATCAGATACAAATTTTAAACAAGCTGAAGTGAGAGATAATGTTCGCATCAATATACCAGATGTTGACAGAAGTCACGGTGATGCCCGAAGCGTAATTGCAGTTGCCATGAGCGTCGAGGGCTCTGTCTACAAGCTAGGAACGGAACATGGTGTTCTAAAACAACTGTATGCTAGAAGTTAGGAACGGAACATGGTGTTCTAAAACAACTGTATGCTAGAAGTTAGGAACGGAACATGGTGTTCTAAAACAACTGTATGCTCGTCCGTTGGCTTTAATAAAAAATCACTACGAACCATCGCATCTTAACAATCACTGACCGGCGGCCAAGGCTACACTCCCTGCAATTGCACAACCAAGTGCACAACAAATCGCCGCAAGTGTAAAAAATAACAAGCTACTATGTAATTCTAATTCTATTCATCTTTATCTCACTCCTTCTTTTCGTTTTCTTTAGAGTTATTTGTCATCGGATATTTTGTCAATCAGATATTTCTACTGAGATATTTTTTTTTCATCGGATATTATTTCCGAATTTTTCTTGTCAGAAATATATGTTTGTCCTGAGAAGTGTTTTATTCGGATATTTTCTGTCTCGCACTTCCATGACAGAACTTTTAAAAATCAACTGTAAAACAAGTTATTGGCAGAATTACTAATAAAAACAAATTGTTTTTGACAGAAAGCGACACTTATCAAAAGATGGTAAATGAAAGTAGTGAGGAACAAACAGTTAGAGCTCAAACTTCTACACAAGATGATGTAACAAGCTGTTTTAATGGTTGGTATGTCCATCTATTGGTTGCGTAGCTTAGTGCTATAATAAGCATCAGTTTCTCGTATACAGAGTATAGAGGAAGTATTGTAATTGTGCACCAAAAATCAAATAAAATTTTGACAGTTTTCACCGTTTTACACCTAAGTACATCATCACATACGGAGTGTAGGGGACTTATTTTTAATCGTGTAAAAAAATGAAATCCAGATTTTCACAAATCTCGAGGTTTTACACCCCCCTGAGTCGAAAATAGTTTTGCAGTTTTGTCCGTTTGTCAATGTGTGTCTGTGTGTCTGTATCTGTGAACACGATATTTTGAGTACCGTTACGGCTAGGTTGCTGAAATTTCAGATTTAGGCATTATATCAAATTTATAGTTCTATGTCAACGTTTTAGTGATTTCCGTTAACCGGTAATGAAATTTCTTCTACTTCTGTTTTTTTAAAAGCCTATAACTTGAGTACTGTTTCTTATAGATAGACGAAATTTAACACATATAAGTAAAAGACTAATTTCTAGACTAGTTTCCTGTCAAATTTTGAGTAATTTCAGGTGACTGACAGTAGTACTTTACACGCTACTTCCGATTTATCAAAAAACGCAAATGAATTTATTTTTAACTTGATTCCTCACTTAGGTCAAGACTAGAAGAAAATGTATTGTGACATAAAATGTTACCTAATTATATAATTAATTAGCTCTTTGAAAATGGATATAGTTTTTCTTTAAAAATTACTATTGTTCCGCACTATTATACATTCATCGTTTGCTGTTCATTTGGTGTGCAATTCTTTCTTTTCTACGAGATTTTATTATGTTTTAAAAATTGTATTATTCAAAAATTGATTAAAATCATTTCGATATCCCTAGCTACCGTAGTTTTATATAAGAATATTCGAGAAAACTTAGGGGAGATCACTACTGCTTTATTATTTAAGAGTTATATTTTACACAAAAATGAGGTGTACTTTTAAAAATAGGTACTGTTCAGATTTATAATTACAATACATTGTTTAATTTAATTGTACAGGTACACATGAGGTACAAGAATGTCTTAAAGGTCAATGTGAGGCAGATCTACACACACACCTGGCAAACTGTAAGAAAAATCCTGGCCATACAGGGTTTATTCCTGTAAAAAAGTTTAGAAAAGAACATCTTCCTCCCGGTTACCAGGACAGTGACGTTTATGACGTCATTAACGCTCAAAGTTACGTTACGGTAAGGATAGCCGTTAAGTTTACAAGTAAAAACAGACCAGAATTTGAACTTGGTACTAAACGTCCATATCCATGCTACAAGACCAGGGGGAAGAAGCTAATGAGAACAGGGACGGGAAAGATAGCAGCTGTAAAGAAGAACAGTGACGACTCTGACGAACCTTGTCCGTGTCCGGAATGTAAACACTCGACCAAACCAAAAAAGAAATGGTTTAAAGTCTGGGTACAGACAGCCAGACATGTGATTTTTGATTCAGAAGAGGCGAGACAGTCCAGGTGCAGGTTATGGTTTGATGACGATCAAAGTCCAGTGGTCAACATCTATGGATGGAGGGCTGGGGGCATCTCACACACTGGTCAAGATTGGTGCATCCTTTTCTGTGTAACACATGAGCCAGAGATAGCAGAAAAATTGTTGAATGTTATTCGCAGATATAGTGAAATATGGGGTAAGGTAAACTCAAAATATATTAGCAGTAGAGATGTGGACAAGCTGACCATTATAGTGTCACATCCTCATGGCTGTTCTAAGCTGGTCTCTGTAGGTCACTGGGTAGACAGGGAGCCAGTAGGATCGTACACCAGGTACACGTACACAACCTGTACTTGCCCTGGTAGCAGTGGGGCTGGGGTCTACAAGCTAGAGTGGACTGACCATCCACACAGTGGAGCCCATGCTAATGGATTTAACTACAGTGCAGCTATGAGTGATCTGGATTTCAGTTTTACTGGAGAGGATTTGGAACTCAAGAGGCAGCTAGAGAATAATAATTTTTTTGAGATGTGTGATTCAATCTTAGCTTCCACCGATGACAGTTTACAGTACAGGATAAAGTAATTTTTGTTTTTGTATTTACAAAGTTACATAAAAAACTGAAATTTAAAAAGTTCATTTTTTTCTATTACAACCATTAAACAGACGACTACACCAGAACTTATTAAAACTTAAGAAAATTTGGTAACTCATGAAAATGTAGGCTATATAGTTCCACTTTTAAAAGTTATCTCCAAATTTAATTACATGTAACCATACATATTAAGGTTAATTTGGTATTTAATTGCTTTTAGCTCACAAAAAATTTGACATTTTAGTAAATGAAACCTGTTTTAGCACTGTATAAATATTACATTTAGATTATTTCAATGGTCACCTTATTTTTAGTATTAGCCCATTGACAAATTTTCGAACTTGTCCATGATAATATAGTGCAAGCTGAACAGCAAAGTCCTATACAACGTGACGTATAAGAATAAGAAAGAAACAGCTCATTATAGTATAGTTGGAATGGGTGTGGCTTGTATCCAGATACAATTCGTTAGCTGAGTAATCAAAATGTCAACGTTGCAACTCCTTCATTCCAATTCTAGCAGTATAGAAAACTTCTACATGTTGACGTTGATTGTCTTCCCATTAACCCTTTCTCAAGATGCATTCCTGACACGTCAGCGTTATCATACCTGGGCTAATACTAATGATAGAAGAACGACAAGCGACCTAATTTAGTTATTATAAAAAGTATAAAGAGATAACGTTACTACGCAAGTAACTAGATTGCAGCAATGCGCGGGATGGCCGCTCAGAATTCTCTCAAAATAACCTGAAGGGAAAACCCAAGAATTAACACGCATTTAATGATCAATATCAGGACACTTACAGAGACGTAGCGATGGGGGGGGGGGGGGGGGGGGCAGGGGGGACATATGTCCCCGGGCACCGAACTTAGGGGGCGCCAAAATGGGTTGGAAAAAGTAAACGAAAGTTTGAAAGGGGTGCAAATTATAAGTTTGAGGGGGGGGGGGGAGTGCAAATCAAAAGTTTATCCCCGGGCGCCGGGAACGCTCCCTACGCCTGTGGACACTTATCCAGCCCACACGAGGACGGCAACTGGACTTCTAGGGTCAGAAAATGGTTGGAAAACCCCACTCAAGCTATAAATACATACTACCCAACAGGTATTTTTAGGATATCTTTCAAATTTGTATCAATACACTCTGGCGTACTGTGATAAATACGACTAGCTTTTCATGTTTCCTTGGTGACACCTCTGCCTACTTTGTGTTGCAAGTGACTATTCGAGCTAACTGATTAGAAGATTACTCTTAATAATCTAGATAGCTCGAAAACCAAAGTATATAAAGGTAAGAAAAAAGATAATTCAGATTCAAACTTGGAGAACAAACTGACTGACTATTGAGTAAGGTGAGTTAATTTGTTTTTAATTCTATAGCATAAACAGAGAAAGGTGGTTTGATTGTCATAAGATCATATTTTATTCATTCTTTATTGTTATGAAATAGGCCTGTATATTATCTGAATTTATTAACATGTAAATAATTTTACTACGCAAGGGTGGTAGTAATAAAAGAAGAATAATTTTATATTTAAAAATCACTCAAGTTATTAAAAAATCGTATATTTTCTCTGATTTATGGCAAAGGGTTATAGAATTTGCAGGCGTTATTTTTTCTCATATACGAAGTACAGAGAAAGTGTTGTTATCATACTCAAAAATGACAGCAAATTTGTATAGTTTTCATCGTTTAACAACTTAGTACTTCATCATTTGCGGAGTATATGGGACTTATTTTAATTTAGTCTTGAGTACTGTCAGATAGAAAGACGAAATTTAACTTAAATGTAAAAGATCTATTTTTCTGCCTTTTATCAAATTTTGAGTAATATACCTTTAAGGGAAGAAGTACTTTACGCTATTTCCGATTTCTCAAAAAAACGCATATGATTTTATAAAGTACTAATATTCCGCACTTTAATACACACATTGTTTGCTGTTCACTTAGTGCGCAAATTTTTTTTCTACGACAATCTATTCTATTTTTTTAAAATTAAGTCATTAAAAATGGATTAAAAATCATGTCCTTATCCTGAGTTACCATCTCCGGTAGTAGGGAGATCACTCCTACTTTGTTTTCATACAAGCTCATTAGATTTTCCACATAATTTTAACCGGAAGTAGAGTGAGTATCACTTCCGGTTACCGGTAGTCGCTCAAACGTTGATAGAAAACCACAAATTTATAATTCTTATGATTATGGGAAATTCCACAAACATAACTTTTCGGTACTCAAGTTATCTTGTAGTACACTTGTGTTTAGTGTAGATTGCAACGGTTGTAAAAGTACAATTTATTTTTCTCTAAGTAGATCTATATGTTAATTATTTTAGTGAGAAAACAAAATCGAGTATAATTTTTTCTTCATTAGTCTCAATAGTTTAACAAGTACGAATGTGGTCCATATACAGATCTAACTGTCGTGTTTTACTGTTTAATGTAGATAACAAGATTGCCAATGCTGCAACTAACACCTCACAACATTTAGGTAAGTATGTTACTGAAGGTAACCTTTATTTAAAATGAAGGTTGAAGTTTTAGATAAGTGTTCTTATCTGTTATAACTGGGTTGTATATGTGTACCACAGCTATGCAGTGAGAGGGTGGAACTACCTGATCCAATACCATATTTCAACACCACTACAATCCGATTATGCTCAGCTATTCAGCAATTCATCTTGAAGCACGGCGACACTAACGCACACAAATGATTCGACAGAAGGACACCGTTTGCTAACTCACTTTATTGCACCATAGAAATAAACATCGGACAGCCTGAACACATGATGCCAAGACAACCTAACTCTAACATAACACGAACAAGACTAACTCAAGCTTCTTCACCGGCAACAACGAACTCACACTAAAACGTCACTTTCTTGCGTACAGCGTCACACACTCACTCGTTCAATATACGGCCACACCATCAATCATGCGCACCAATTTCCCTAGTCGAACATGCATCATAACACTATCTATACATTTTTGTCACGCCATTTGGCAAAATTACCATTTAGACTTTTACGACTTTTTAAAATAAGAGCCAAAAAATATTTGAGGATAATTAAGCCTAGATTATTTTGTAAAACAAAACATTAACCTGATTGATTTCCTTTGTCAAAGAAATATCTAGCAAAACACAAACTAACTGTGGGATCAGTTGTTTGTAAATAAGCCTAGACTTCTAAAATCCACGATACCTTAAGTCTTAGATAACACTCTGTTGATTTTAATCACTCAAGTACACTTAAAAAAATAACGATTGGTCATACGTTTAGCGTCTAGATATTCTAGTTATATTTTAACACCTGGTGTTGACTGAGCATTCTGCACAGAAGGTCAGGTGCACTACTTAATTCAATGGTCAAACTGCACCAGGTGCATCAGCCTGCGCACTGGCTGTTGGTTGACCAGTAGCACCCGGACTCCACCGAGAGCACTATGGCGTCTACACTCGTTTTAAAAATGGCATACAATATGGATAACATGAGTAATTGTAATTTTTGGCTAAATCGAAACACTCATGACACCCGGGCGGTCGACGATTTGTGTTTTACTTTACTATTACTGGTATTGATTAACAGACACTCCAGGCTTTCGTACAGCACGTCCTGCGGCATCTAGGCGATAGTGTGTACAAACCTTCGCCCGGACTACCGAGATCCAAAAAATATAGCGCTGGCAGTGTTTACATTTAAATAACTCGGTTTAAGAAAACACGATAACATGTCTAAAATACAGGATTAATAACACACAAATGAAACCATTATAAAATGTTCCGTCACTTTGTGCATAGAACTGGCTCGCAGCAACCTACGTGACGGGTACGCTAGTAATAAATAAATATCCAAAGACAAGCTTCAGCAGGGTGGAGGGAGTTAGTTAAATTTTTTTAGTCGTCATAAATAGATTATCCCCCCCCCCTAACCCTCCATCTTTCCCCCTCCAAAATGTAGAATGTTGAAACTCTATAAATTTAATTTTATATATTTAAAAAAAGTTTCTTTTTATCGGTAACTTTGTCTAGTTAACGCATACCATTTAAGGTAAATAATCTCATTTTAAGCTAACAGTTACAAAATGATGTAATACTTTGGTTGTTTTTAGAAGTAGAATAATTAATTAAAGAAAACATTCCTTAATTTGTTTACTTTAACAGGAACCCATGAGGTACAGGAATGTCTGAAAGGCCAATGTGAGGCAGATCTACACACACACCTGGCAAACTGTAAGAAAAATCCTGGCCATACAGGGTTTATTCCTGTAAAAAAAGTTTACAAAAGAACATCTTCCTCCCGGTTACCAGGACAGTGACATCTATGACGTCATTAAAGCTCAAAGTTACCTAACTGTCAGAATAGCCGTTAATTTCACCAGTCGAAACAGACCTGAGTTTGTACTCGGAACTAAAGAACCTTATCCTTGCTACACGACAAGAGGAAAAAGATTACTGCGAACAGGGACAGGGTCGGTTTGGAAAGTATCCATATCCGAACCGGGAAGCAAGGCTTATACACTTTGTCCATGTCCGGAATGTGAACACTCAGCCAAACCAAAAAAGAAATGGTTTAAGGTCTTTGTGCAGACAGCCAGACATGTGATTTTTGATTCAGAAGAGGCGAAACATTCCAGCTGTAGGTTGTGGTTTGATGATGATCAAAGTCCAGTGGTCAAGATTTATGGGTGGAGGTCTGGAGGAATGTCACATACAGGTCAAGATTGGAACACTCTTGTATGTGCCACACATGATCAAGATATAGCAGAAAGATTGTTGAATGTTTTTCGAATCCGAATGGAGGTATGGGGTAAAGTAAACGCAAAATACGAGAATCGTAGAGATGAAGATAAATTAGCTATTGTAATATCACATCCTCATGGCTGCTCTAAACAGATCTCTGTAGGTCGATGGGTAGAGAGGCAGCAAGTAGGTATGTACAACAAGTACACGTACACAACTTGTACATGCCCGGGGAGCAGTGGGGCCCCAGTCTACAAGCTAGGGTGGACTGTCCATCCCCACTGTGGGGCACACGCCGATGGACCTAACTACAGTACAGCTATGTGTGATATGGATTTTAGTTTCACTGAAGAGGAAAAAAACCTCAAATGGCAAGTTGAGACGGGCCCTTCTCTTACGGACGAAATTTTAGCTTTAACTGATGACAGCTTACAATTTATTATACGGTAATAGCTTACAACTCCAAGTCGAAAATCGTGAGTTCTGATACACAGGTTTGCGTCTGTAAGTTGTCAACGTCCACAAATCTCTGATGAATACCATCCTCAAGTTAAGATAAAATCGAAGCCGGCTGGGCATAATGCTGATAACATCATCTTGTATGCGAGGTCATTGAAACAGATAAACTCTTCTTCATCTGCCCCATGTGTCTGAGACACGAACTGGAAAAGATGATGAATAGCGCACTATTATAACTGTAATGTATTTAATAACATAAAAAGCATCAACGTTTATTTATTCTCTAATTATATTCTAATATTGAAACACCACAAAAACTATTATGTATTACATCTCCTTTATTTACATACATTTGTGTCTAGTGTCATAACATGGTTACATGTTATAAACGTATTTTTACAGGCTTTCATTTAACTTGCTTTATATGTCTTTTGTCTTATCGGTTGAAACAGGCGAGCAAAATTTCGACCAGTTTTAGCGGACCGATTTATTTCTAATTTAGCCAGGGGGTCCAGATCCATTGACGATGCAATATGCCATTAAATTTAACTAAATGTGATGCTTATTTAATGTTTTAGAATTTATGTTTTCATTTTAAAAAATTGTTTCGTTATTATACTCACATTTTTCGTGTTTTCTGTTGCTACTCGAAAACTGTGTTTCATTATTATGTATTTAAAAAAAAATTCCCTTTGTTTCAGTGTACCACTATATAAAAGCTTGTTATTAAAATATTTTTTGAATTTAAATGTTTACCTTATTTTTGCTATGTGTGTTTTATGGTGTGAATGAGATAATTATCTGTAAAGCTTTAATAATGTCAAGGACAGATCATTCACTCTTCCAGAGACTTAGTGTGTTCGATGTGTTTAGTGTGTTCTTTTTATTAACACGTTTTTATTAACTCAGCTTCGCGTGGATGTGTTTGTTGTTAAAATTGACATCGAAAATTAGCCCACTTCTGATTGTTCTATAGTTCTGAAATTTGGCATGCAGGTTACTTTCGCCTAACAATTTCAGATGCAATCATAAAAACTAGCAATTAGAGACCGTAATTAGCTTAATTTAATTACGCCCCAAGGACCATAAAATTGAGGACATGATTTCTAAAGATACCGACAAGACTGGAGGCCTATAGACACAGTTACTTCGGCCCCAATCGATGTGAGCGCGCTGGCCGTGATCGTATAGTGGTTAGTACTTCGCGTTGTGGCCGCGACAACCCAGGTTCGAATCCTGGTCGCTCAAGATTTTTTTAGTCCGTGTATTTATAAACACTTTTTTAAAAACCACGTTTTTCATGTGTAGCAACGGACTAAAAAGGAGAAAATAAAATACTTAAAAAAAAACTTTTAAAAAAACCACGTTTTTCTTGTGGACTAAAAAGTAGAAAATAACTATTTACATACATTTGATGACAAAAAACGTGGGTCGGGCAGATGGGTCGGGAAATTTGATGGTGAACGTACCCACGTTTTTTGTCATCAAATGTATGTAAATAGTTATTTTCTACTTTTTATTTATACCACGTTTTCTTTAACTTGCTTTCTCTGTGTGTTTATTTATTTATTTGTTTGTCTTTCCAATCCAATCTTGCGATCGAAATTTCTGGCACTTCCCAGTTAGCTAGCGCGCTGAAATTTTCAGGGAAGCTTTCTTTTGGATGACCATTGAATATTCAATTGTTATTATTACTAAATTGATCAATGGAAACATTTTATTGAGCATTTTAGACCGCTATATAATCTATATATATAATTCTCCTCTGCTAGCCATTACAAAAAAAAACCAGCGACGCGTACCTCGCGCGCAGTGAAGCGAACGATCACATGTCGCCACAGGCTTAGGGGCAGAGAATTTAGCTTGAACCGAGTTTAAACTTACAGGAGGTAGGCCAGTTTGGGGGAGACGATATGGTCGAGTGGTTGGGCACACGATTGCTATCCCACTCGACACGGGTTCAAATCTATGTGTTCTAGTCAGTAACGTATTCAAACAACGTGTTTTTTACGAGTTGTCTTTTTACGAGTTGTCTTTTTACGAGTTGTCTTTTTACGAGTTGTCTTCGTTTACCCAAAAAAAGTGAAAAGATAAAATCGATAGCAAGATTTACATGCAAACAAACAGACAAAGACTAAAAAGTAGAAAATAATAATCATTAAAAAAGTTTTAAAAAACCCACGTTTTCTGATTGAACTAAAAAGTAGAAAATAAATGCTATAGGCCCTACATCACAATAATGCAAGCGATCACTCTACTATAAGCGAGCAAAAACGTGGGGCGCCGTGATTTTCTTACAGTTTCTAATACTGTTGACTCTCTACAAGCTCCCTAATAAAAGTCAATAGTATTATCTAATCAATAGTAATATAACTTTTACTTCGGCGCCCCACGTTTTTGATCGCTTATAGTAGAGTGATCGCTTGCATTATTGTGATGTAGGGCCTATAGCATTTATTTTCTACTTTTTAGTTCAATCAGAAAACGTGGGTTTTTTAAAACTTTTTTAATGATTATTATTAGTCCACAAGAAAAACGTGGTTTTTTTAAAAGTTTTTTTTTAAGTATTTTATTTTCTGGCTCTAGTCACAGCATGTACTTCACAATGTTGTTATGGGCCAAGTGTGTGATGTGACGTCACGGCTGATCTCACAACCTTCTGTCCTTGTGACCAGAGCCTAACACCTGGCCACACCTGGCCACACCTGGCTGTACATGCACTCATTCACCCCAGCCTTTTGTACCAAACAATCAAGGTAATTAGCCGCGTCTAATATATGACGTCAGCACCTAGTAAACTAGGTCACCATGCTTCGAGGCGTCAGGTGTTTTTAAACAAAACTCAAACCCAGTTTTGTTTACATTAGAAGCTCTCTCCAATCAATTCATTACCCTAATTATAATCAGCCTAACTGCACACATTAATTATTCATTGAAGTCCTAAGGCCTGACCGGCCAACTATGGACAAGGTATTCCTCAGCTTTTTTTGTGACGAGCGGAATAATTCTAGCCTGAATTATGTTTTTAATATTAAAGTAAAAATGCTATAAAAGATACAATGCTGAGTTTTAAAGCTTACGAGGTTGTTTGTGTCGTTTTTTCTTCAATTTTATTGGTGGATTTTGTTTTCTCTTCAATTCAAGGTAAGTTACCAATATATATATATATATACATATATATATATATACATATATATATATATATATATATATATATATATATATATATATATATATATATATATACATATATATATATATATACATATATATATATATATATATATATATATATATATATATATATATATATATATATATATATATATATATATATATATATATATATACACATATATATATATATATATATATATATATATATATATATATATATATATATATATATATATATATATATATATATATATATATATATATATACATATATATATATATATATACATATATATATATATATATATATATATATATATATATATATATATATATATATATATATATATATATATATACATATATATATATATATATATACATATAAAGAGAGAGAGAGAGAGAGAGAGAGAAGTACCTCGAAATACGAGTTTATATTAATTCGTTTCGAAACATTCCTCGTATGTCGAATTGCTCGTATCTCAAAGCAGTTATTTCCATTGAAGTAAATTGAAATGACATTATTCCGTTCCAGCCCTTAATGCAACTCCACTTATTTTTATTGAGTATTTTTTAATTAGAAAAGTGTATTTATACGTGACAAATATTGTTTAAGCTTAATTACAAAGTAATAATAAGGGGTAATGCAAAAAAAATAATAATAAACTGGTTTTATAAAGTGTATTTACTTATAAAATCAACAGACTTGAAGTTACAGAAGTTGCTGGTGGGGGGGGGGGTCTAGGTCGTGTGTTAGGGTGGAGAAGATATACAGAGTAGCTTCACTTAATTCACTTACTAACTGTTAATGCTTAGCTTTTTAGGTCACTTCAATTCACTTACTCGTTTCACTCTTAACGCTAAACTTTATCCCTGAACTTAACAAAACGTATAGCTCACCGAACCTAATTAAATCTTAATGTTACTAGATCTAAATCATGTTTTGCTACTTTTGTTCACTACATTCTCATCGCTGTTCTTTGATTTTCCTGACTTTCCATCGCAGGCTGTTAATATAAATCTGTACAAGGTCTGTTTTTTTTCATATTTCAAATTTTTTTTAGAAATGTGCTAGTTAGCTCTCACTAAATATCTTCGATACACAATAGTTGTAACTATTTCAGGGTGTCCCTTTTCCACGAACCGCTTAACCCGCTTATCGAGTTACTCGTATCTCAAATTCTGCTCGTATGACAAAGCAAATTTTAGGTTGCTCGATAGCTAGTATCTCAATTATTTATATATATAGGCCATTGTCGCTGTTTCAGAAATAGCTCTGCCATACATTTCAATAGAAATCGCCCGCCAGTCGGTGCTCGACCTACACCAGACGACAGATGTCACCACGTCTGTCATGACGACAGACAAGCCCCCGTCTGTCACAGCCAGACAGGACGCTGGTGCTGAGATTGCCCGTGGAGTCTGCGGCTCGTATTTCAGGAATTTGGCCAACTGGTGCCAGATCAATTCAGCTAGCAGGAACCAAACTCTCAGACTTCAAGTGGTCCGGCAGATCTCTCTAGTCAGGTGTATACAGGTGGGTAAAGTCAGGTGGGTACAGGTGGGTATAAGACAGGTGTATACAGGTGGGTACAAGACATGTGTACACAGGTGTATACAGGTGGGTACAGGTTAGGTGGGTACAAGTCAGGTGTACACAGGTGGGTACAATAGGTGGGTAAAGGTGGGTACAGGTCAGGTGTATACAGGTGGGTACAAGACAGGTGGGTACAATAGGTGGATACAGGTTAGGTGGGTACAGGTGGGTACAAGTCAGGTGTACACAGGTGGGTACAATAGGTGGGTACAGGTTAATACAAGTTAGGTGGGTTAAATCTTTTAGATTTTAAAAAATGTGCCAGTCTGTGTTGATAACGTCAAAAGACTTACATTAATAAACTATAGAAAGAAACATCGAACACTTTTTATCACAACATAAAACAGCACATACAACTTTAAGGCATATAAATAAAGTCACTCATTGAGACATAAGCATTGCTCTCTCACAAGGGACTTAACTATGGTTTAACTGTGGACAACTCTTACATCTGGGTGACCGGACTTTGTGAGGCCGAGTTCTCGGTGCTGTTGACAGAGACAAGCACAACAAATCCTACGCTACCACAAGCACCTACCTCAACGTTGCCTAGTAAACCGTTGCCTAGCAACGATAAGAAAGGTAGTTATATTTGTATCGGTGTTCGGCCTATTGATTTTTTTTTATTTACACCATTTTAGCCAGATGTTTAAACAATTATTAGCAACCGTCGACACTCCGCATTGACCAATATTTTACACCATCGATATTCCCTAATGTAACCAGCACATTAAAATGTAACCAGCACATCAAAATGTAACCAACACATCAACATGTAACCAGCACATTAAAATGTAACCAGCACATCAAAATGTAACCAGCACATCAACATGTAAACAGCACATGTAACCAGCACATCAAAATGTAACCAGCACATGTAACCAGCACATGTAACCAGCACATCAACATGTAACCAGCACATCAACATGTAACCAGCACATGTAACCAGCACATGTAACCAGCACATCAACATATAACCAGCACATGTAACCAGCACATGTAACCAGCACATGTAACCAGCACATATAACCAGCACATCAACATGTAACCAGCACATGTAACCAACACATCAACATGTAACCAGCACATGTAACCAGCACATGTAACCAACACATCAAAATGTAACCAGCACATCAACATATAACCAGCACATGTAACCAGCACATGTAACCAGCACATGTAACCAGCACATGTAACCAGCACATGTAACCAGCACATCAACATATAACCAGCACATGTAACCAGCACATGTAACCAGCACATGTAACCAGCACATGTAACCAGCACATGTAACCAGCACATGTAACCAGCACATGTAACCAGCACATCAACATGTAACCAGCACATGTAACCAGCACATCAACATGTAACCAGCACACGTAACCAGCACATGTAACCAGCACATGTAACCAGCACATGTAACCAGCACATCAACATGTAACCAGCACATCAACATGTAACCAGCACATGTAACCAGCACATGTAACCAGCACATCAACGTGTAACCAGCACATGTAACCAGCACATGTAGCCAGCACATATAACCAGCACATCAACATGTAACCAGCACATGTAACCAGCACATGTAACCAGCACATGTAACCAGCACATCAACATGTAACCAGCACATGTAACCAGCACATATAACCAGCACATCAACATGTAACCAGCACATGTAACCAGCACATGTAACCAGCACATGTAACCAGCACATGTAACCAGCACATGTAACCAGCACATGTAACCAGCACATCAACATGTAACCAGCACATGTAACCAGCACATTTAACCAGCACATGTAATCAGCACATCAACATGTAACCAGCACATGTAACCAGCACATGTAACCAGCACATGTAACCAGCACATGTAACCAGCACATCAAAATGTAACCAGCACATGTAACCAGCACATGTAACCAGCACATCAACATGTAACCAGCACATGTAACCAGCACATGTAACCAGCACATCAACATGTAACCAGCACATCAACATGTAACCAGCACATCAACATGTAACCAGCACATCAACATGTAACCAGCACATGTAACCAGCACATCAACATGTAACCAGCACATCAACATGTAACCAGCACATGTAACCAGCACATGTAACCAGCACATCAACATATAACCAGCACATGTAACCAGCACATGTAACCAGCACATGTAACCAGCACATGTAACCAGCACATATAACCAGCACATCAACATATAACCAGCACATGTAACCAGCACATGTAACCAGCACATATAACCAGCACATCAACATGTAACCAGCACATCAACATGTAACCAGCACATCAACATGTAACCAGCACATGTAACCAGCACATTTAACCAGCACATGTAACCAGCACATCAACATGTAACCAGCACATGTAACCAGCACATGTAACCAGCACATGTAACCAGCACATGTAACCAGCACATGTAACCAGCACATGTAACCAGCACATCAAAATGTAACCAGCACATGTAACCAGCACATGTAACCAGCACATCAACATGTAACCAGCACATCAACATGTAACCAGCACATCAACATGTAACCAGCACATGTAACCAGCACATGTAACCAGCACATCAACATGTAACCAGCACATCAACATGTAACCAGCACATGTAACCAGCACATGTAACCAGCACATCAACATATAACCAGCACATGTAACCAGCACATGTAACCAGCACATGTAACCAGCACATATAACCAGCACATCAACATGTAACCAGCACATGTAACCAACACATCAACATGTAACCAGCACATGTAACCAGCACATATAACCAGCTCATCAACATATAACCAGCACATGTAACCAGCACATGTAACCAGCACATGTAGCCAGCACATATAACCAGCACATCAACATATAACCAGCACATGTAACCAGCACATGTAACCAGCACATCAACATGTAACCAGCACATGTAACCAGCACATATAACCAGCACATCAACATGTAACCAGCACATGTAACCAGCACATGTAACCAGCACATGTAACCAGCACATGTAACCAGCACATGTAACCAGCACATGTAACCAGCACATGTAACCAGCACATGTAACCAGCACATGTAACCAGCACATGTAACCAGCACATGTAAACAGCACATGTAACCAGCACATGTAACCAGCACATCAACATGTAACCAGCACATGTAACCAGCACATGTAACCAGCACATGTAACCAGCACATGTAACCAGCACATGTAACCAGCACATCAACATGTAACCAGCACATGTAACCAGCACATTTAACCAGCACATGTAATTAGCACATCAACATGTAACCAACACATGTAACCAGCACATGTAACCAGCACATGTAACCAGCACATGTAACCAGCACATCAAAATGTAACCAGCACATGTAACCAGCACATGTAACCAGCACATCAACATGTAACCAGCACATGTAACCAGCACATGTAACCAGCACATGTAACCAGCACATGTAATCAGCACATCAACATGTAACCAGCACATGTAACCAGCACACGTAACCAGCACATGTAACCAGCACATGTAACCAGCACATGTAACCAGCACATGTAACCAGCACATCAACATGTAACCAGCACATGTAACCAGCACATGTAACCAGCACATGTAACCAGCACATGTAACCAGCACATGTAACCAGCACATCAACATGTAACCAGCACATGTAACCAGCACATTTAACCAGCACATGTAATCAGCACATCAACATGTAACCAGCACATGTAACCAGCACATGTAACCAGCACATGTAACCAGCACATGTAACCAGCACATGTAACCAGCACATGTAACCAGCACATGTAACCAGCACATCAACATGTAACCAGCACATGTAACCAGCACATGTAACCAGCACATGTAACCAGCACATGTAACCAGCACATGTAACCAGCACATCAACATGTAACCAGCACATGTAACCAGCACATTTAACCAGCACATGTAATCAGCACATCAACATGTAACCAGCACATGTAACCAGCACATGTAACCAGCACATGTAACCAGCACATGTAACCAGCACATCAAAATGTAACCAGCACATGTAACCAGCACATGTAACCAGCACATCAACATGTAACCAGCACATGTAACCAGCACATGTAACCAGCACATCAACATGTAACCAGCACATCAACATGTAACCAGCACATCAACATGTAACCAGCACATGTAACCAGCACATGTAACCAGCACATCAACATGTAACCAGCACATCAACATGTAACCAGCACATGTAACCAGCACATGTAACCAGCACATCAACATATAACCAGCACATGTAACCAGCACATGTAACCAGCACATGTAACCAGCACATATAACCAGCACATCAACATATAACCAGCACATGTAACCAGCACATGTAACCAGCACATATAACCAGCACATCAACATGTAACCAGCACATCAACATGTAACCAGCACATCAACATGTAACCAGCACATTTAACCAGCACATGTAACCAGCACATCAACATGTAACCAGCACATGTAACCAGCACATGTAACCAGCACATGTAACCAGCACATGTAACCAGCACATCAAAATGTAACCAGCACATGTAACCAGCACATGTAACCAGCACATCAACATGTAACCAGCACATGTAACCAGCACATGTAACCAGCACATCAACATGTAACCAGCACATCAACATGTAACCAGCACATCAACATGTAACCAGCACATGTAACCAGCACATGTAACCAGCACATCAACATGTAACCAGCACATCAACATGTAACCAGCACATGTAACCAGCACATGTAACCAGCACATCAACATATAACCAGCACATGTAACCAGCACATGTAACCAGCACATGTAACCAGCACATATAACCAGCACATCAACATATAACCAGCACATGTAACCAGCACATGTAACCAGCACATATAACCAGCACATCAACATGTAACCAGCACATCAACATGTAACCAGCACATCAACATGTAACCAGCACATGTAACCAGCACATGTAACCAGCACATGTAACCAGCACATCAAACCGCCACTACATCTCCAGACCAGTGTGGTGCCGCCAACTACTACCGCATCATAGGCGGTACCGGTGCCAGCCCATGTCAGTACCCGTGGATGGTGATGGTGACCAACTCCCTGACAGAGACCATGTGTGGTGGCGCCATCATCGACAGCATACACGTGCTCACAGCCGCACACTGCTTCTACGCCGCTGACAAAAGGTAATCACGACATTCAGTTGCTGAATAGAAAAGGTAAACTCGACATTCAGTGGCTGAATACAAAAGGTAAACTCGACATTCAGTGGCTGAATACAAAAGGTAAACTCGACATTCAAGTTGCTGAATACAAAAGGTAATTAGGTCATTCAGTTACTCGTTACCACTGACAACCCTTCTTAATGTTTATGTCGTCAGCATTGACGAAATCCGATCGTGAATCATATGAGTCGGGTATGTGTCTTAAACTCTGCTGAACCCCTGAGACTGACCAACCGAACCCCTGGGGTTCGGTCGAGTCTAGTTTAAGAACCCCTGATCTAGAGACATATAAAAGTCAAATTACAGATTAACAAGTTCTGTTTTGACAATTTCCATTCTGAAAGAAAACTTCAAGACCTCAACAAAAGGCTATAAGCAATTATTTTTTTAAATCAATTACTTAAAGTCTAAAATATTTTAACTGACAATAGGTTACACATTTTATATTTAAATACACACAAATAAATAAAGTAAGAAAGAAAGAAAAGGAAAAAAAATAATTTAAAAAATGGCTTTTCACCTAACTTTTCTGTGTAAAAGCCGACATAAAGTAGGGTAAACGGCCTGTCGATTGTTTGCTACAGTGGCAGACTGTTGTTGCTATTGCTGTTGTTATAATTATGTTGGTGGATATAACCTTCACGGATAAAGCTGGCAAAACAAATATCGCTGACCATACTATTTTCACTAAACAATAATGCCGATTGGTTTTGTATTCTCATTTTTCACCAGTGTTTCTCCCAGACTTTTTTCTCCGGAGGGGGGGGGGGGCACTTAATATTTTCGGAGGGGGGGGGGGAGGGGACAATGGTAAAAGTATATATTTTCTATATAAATTTCCATTTCGTTCTTTTGTTCGGGGGTAGACATTTTTCGGGAAACACTGTTTTTCACCCCTTGCCTTATCTCAGTGGCGTAGCTATGGGATGGGCGAGAGAGGGGTGCGGCAGCCCCTGAAGGTGTCGCTACGCCCCTAATTAAAACTCGTGTTTTCTTCACGTAAGTTTAACCAAAGGCTAACGTGACGTCACAGCTGAAAGGTTTTTGTTTGTCTAGAACAGGGGAGATGACCAAGGCACTTCCTGGACAGATTGTTGTGTTGACCGGCTCCACGGTCATTGACCTCAAGACTTTGACAGGGTTAAAGGTCAGATTTGTCGCTAAGCTGTCCACGCATGAGCTGTACAACAGTAAAACATTAGGTCAGTAGCAAGTCTTTTAGTCTAAGACATTAGGTCAGTGGTCAGTCTGTTAGTTAAGACATTAGGTCATCCAGTGATCAGTCTGTCAGTTTAAGACATTAGGTCATTAGTCAGTCTGTAGGTGAAAGACATTAGGTCATTAGTCTGTTAGCTAAAGACATTAGGTCATTAGTCTGTAGGTGTAAGACATTAGGTCATTAGTCTGTTAGCTAAAGACATTAGGTCATTAGTCAGTCTGTAGGTGTAAGACATTAGGTCAATGAGCGTCAGTGGTGTAGCTTACAACTTTAGTAAACTTTGTCCCTTTGATGCTGTTTCTTTCCGACATTTTCCTCCAGTGGGTAGGTTTTTGAAATTTCTCAATTTCACTCAGACAGAAATTCTGCATTTTTTTAATATTTTATTAAGTAGGAAACCCAGTTGAGATAATAATAGACTTGTGTTCCAGCCAATGACATCGCTGTCCTGAGGCTGACCAGTCCAATCGAGTTTGACCGCTGCCACCAGCCCGTGTGTCTGGTCAACCACACCATGGACGTGCATCAGGCGAGCCACTGTCGCGCCATGGGCTGGGGCGTCAACAGCAGTGAGTACAACTTTGGTCTAGAGATTGTAGTCGTGAGTACAACTTTGGTCTAGAGATTTTAGCAGTGAGTACATATGTGGTCTAGAGATTGTAGTCGTGAGTACACATTTGGTCTAGAGATTTTAGCAGAGAGTACAACTTAAGTCTAGAGTTCGTATCAGTGAGTAGAACTTTGGTCTAGAGATTATTATAGGAGTTACTAAAATTTAGTCTAGGGACTTTTTTATGAACAGAAATCGTAATGCACAAATAGCAATTCTAGCTAGCAAGCTATTTTGTAATCGAACTAAAAAACCAAATAAAATGCCAAGTTTACTTTGCTAAACGGCCAACAAATTTAGTTTTCTACCAACTTGACAACTTCCAGACGATGTGACGTCATCAGCCCAGTCAACATTACAGTGGATTGACATGCCGGTTGTTGATGACGTCACCTGCAGACAACAGTACCGGTCCCTGGTCACGCCCTCCACGTTCTGTGCTGGAGCCAAGGGCAAGGACACATGCCGGGTAAGTTCTTAGGTCAGAGGTCAAGTGACGGTAGGATCTGAGGTCCTTATGGGTTGTGTACATGTTGTAGTCTTCCAGTTACAGCAGTAAACAAAGCTCTACCACAGGTTGACTGGTGGTCCTGTAGATGACTCTGTGGGTTACCCTAGTGGTCCTCTGTGTGGTGGTCCTCTGTGTGGTGGTCCTCTGTGTGGTGGTCCTCTGTGTGGTGGTCCTGTGTGTGGTGGTCCTGTGTGTGGTGGTCCTCTGTGTGGTGGTCCTGTGTGTGGTGGTCCTGTGTGTGGTGGTCCTGTGTGTGGTGGTCCTGTGTGGTGGTCATGTGTGTGGTGGTCCTGTGTGTGGTGGTCCTGTGTGGTGGTTCTCTATGTGGTGGTCCTCTATGGGACTTTGATGGTTCTCTGTGTGGTGGTACTCTGTGTGTTGGTCGTATGTTTGGTGATCCGGTGTGACTTTGGTGATCCATATGGAATTGTGGTGGTCTTGTAGGTAACTAGTGATCCTATAGATAGATGACTGTGTGTTACTCTGGTGGTCATGTGTGTGACTCTGAGGGTCCTCTGTACACCATTCTCTACCACAGGGAGACTCCGGCGGTCCTTTCATCTGTCGTGACGACGGCCCACGGTACCACGTGTATGGTGTGGTGTCAGCTGGACTAGACCAACAGTGTGGCAACTACGTGGGTCTCTACACCAAGGTCTCCAGCTTCTTGGGCTGGATAGGTCGGGTCACAGCGACATAGCAGGTCGGGTCACAGCGACATAGCAGGTCAAACAACAGGTCACAGCGACATAGCAGGTCAAACAGGTCACAGCGACATAGCAGGTCAAACCACAGGTCACAGCGACACAACAGGTCAACAACAGGTCACAGAGACATAGCATGTCAAACCACAGGTCACAGCGACATAGGAGGTCAACAACAGGTCACAGCGACATAGCAGGTCAAACCACAGTTTACAGCGACAAAGCAAGTCAAACCACAAGTCATCCATGACATTAAAATGTCAATCAAATGCTAGAGCAACATATAGTCCCTAATGTATCAAAAGCCTCATTCATACTATGATACTTAGATCTTCTTCTTCTTCTTCGTTCTTAATTATTAGTGTTGAAGGGGATCGAGATTTATCTGCCAGTGGGTTTGAACTCGAGACTGTTCGAATGTATCAACCATGAGCTTTTTGCCGACTCGACCACGCATCCAACACAATTAAGCGTTACGTGTCAACTGGTTATGCGCCATTGTGGCCATTGACTCCGATTTCAGCCTGCTTTTCTTTTTGGATTTGCTTCCATAGCCTTTGTCCAACCAAGAACAAACTACAAGGCCGCAGTTGTTTTAATTTTGGAGTTGTCTCTCCTAGAAGAGTGGCTGTCCCCAGCTAACGAGCCTCATCTGCCCGAGGGTTCGAACTGAGACTTTTCGGTTTAGCAACCATGAGCTTTACCGACTCGACCACGCCGACCCCTATACTAAGATCGATTTGGCTTATTGTTGTAGAATGTAGACTAGTATATAAAACTACAGAGGGGAAGCTGGATCTAAATGTCATTTGCTTCTATGTAACATGACATTTCTGGGGTGACATAATCATCAAAATGTGTGCTACTACACTGCCCTCTGTTACAATCATCCCACTACAACCATCCCACTACAACCATCCCACTACAACCATCCTACTACAACCATCCTACTACAAAACACATCAAACACAAGAGGCCCAACAATGTTTGCATTAATTTATTCCACCATAAAATCTGATGAAAGCTAAAAACATAATATCAAATCTAGCCAGTGGTCTATCAACTGGAGGAATTCAAACCTTCAGCGCACTTGGGCAACAGAAAAAGTTCATATCACAAGCAGCAATGGCTATTTTTAGAATCCATCGCAATCAAGCAACTGTTAAAAACATCAAACATCAGCCATTAAAAACATCACACATCAGCCGTTAAAAACATCACACATCAACCATGGTAACATAAACCTTCGTACGTAATGACTAATATTATCAACCATATGTTAAAAACATCACACTGCCATGCTAACATCATATACTTTTCTAATAACTAAAATCTAAGATCAATTTTTCAAGGCGTTACTGAGAAATGTATAACCTACTTCATCAATCTTTTGACTTATTAATTCAAATTTTGAACATGATGGACAGATGTTTATTAACTATTTGTGTATGATGGTCAATGGTTTATTGAATACTTTTTACTGAATTATTTTTGTGATGTTGCGCACTGACAAAATTATTTCCTAAAACTTGAGCTAATGAAAGCAGCCAATAACAAAATTATTTCCTAGAACTTGAGCTAATGAAAGCAGCCAATAACAAAATTATTTCCTAGAACTTGAGCTAATGAAAGCAGCCAATAACAAAATTATTTCCTATAACTTGAGCTAATGAAAGCAGCCAATAACAAAACTGATGAAGCCAAAATGTTTGTCCACTAATGTGATGACAGATGTCACAACGACATGACGGCCATGACCTGGTTTGTGCCAGCTGACGTGGCAGTGTCACCCCGCGGTGGCTGGTTCAAAACTTCCAAAATTTGCTCAGCGTAATCTTTTTCTTCCTGTGGACCAGAAGAAAGTGATGTGGTTCAATCATTTATTCAGAATCAATCATTTCATCAGAAACAATCATTTCATCAGAAACAATCATTTCATCAGAAACAATCATTTCATCAAAAACAATCATTTATTCAGAAACATTCATTTCATCAGAAACAATCATTTCAACAAAAACAATCATTTCATCAAAAACAACCATTTCCTTAAAATAGTCATTTGAAAAGATATCTTGAGTATCTTAGCAGTTAAAGCAGTTTAGTGTTTGGATATTTTCTTCAGGAGCATGAAGAACAAAACTTAGCCAAGCTCAATGTTTACTTATGTGTCATGGAGAGAGGATGTTCTATTTATAAGTATACTAGCTACTTGTATGTGCTGTAACAAGTTTTGATTTTGATTGATAAAAGAAAAGCTTTAAATATACATACCGTGTTTCTTTTTTTTAGATTTTTTTTGCCATCTTTTAAACATTTTTGGATGAGTTAATTTAAATGTGTGCCAACTGAAGTGTTGTGTGTATCAGTTCTGTTATGTGGGGTTTTTTTGTCATGGCTGTTCTTAAGGCCATTGGGTGATAATATCATATAACAAAACAAAATTATCCAATTATGTATGGGTTAATTTAAAAAAGCACACTATAGAGCACATTATGCAAACCTGGTCACATAAAAATTCACAAACTCAGGAAAATGAAATTTGTGCACACAGAAGAAATATGCAAATAAAATTGTGCTGATAGAAAAAATAGAAATGTGCACAAAATAGAAGTGACACAAAAAAGAGTGTACAAAGAAAATTGTGGATACACAATTTTAGACACACAAAAATTCTTTGTGTAGAAAAAATATTAGCTTACACAGAAAAGAGCACACAAACAAGACTGTAATTCTTGGTAACAGAAAATAGATCAACAAAAAAAAATTGTTTACATGCCCATTCAACCAAGTGTAACTTGCAATTTTGTTTTTAGTTTATATCAATTTAGATTCATTACTTGGTTGAGGAATTCCTATATGTTAAAATATGTTAACTTTTTTGCAACTGAATTTCTCTAAAGTATTTTTAGCAGCATTTTAAAGAGTGAAATTTGGTCATCTTCTAGGGCTTTCTGTGTGTTTGGGAATATGGGATCCAAAAATTGTACACAAACAGAAAACTGAGCATACAAAATTGCTTTAAATTTTTTCAGTTGGATTTCATCTACTGCACCAATGGCAGAGATAAATTCCCACACAACCAAGAGTCCTAAGTGGGTAAAAAAATGAACTCTACCTTAAACTGGTCCTGGCCATCTAATGAACGAATCTTCTGACACAGGAGTGTTGGGATATCTAAACCTCGGCATTTCTTCTGCGCTGTAGCGTGGTCAGCAACTATGGTCAGCATGGTAGACAGGATGTGTTCGTGTGACGAGTCGTGTTCCTCCTTCAGCAGGGAGACCAGCTGTTCTATGACCCCAGCCTCGACTAGGCTGTCTGTGGACAGGCGCAAGTTAGACAGTTTTAGACTATCTAGACAGGTGCAAGTTAGACTTGTTAGTTTTAGACTATGTAGACAGGTGCAAGTTTGACTTGTTAGTTTTAGACTATCTAGACAGGTGCAAGTTAGACTTGTTAGTTTTAGACATTCTGCTGTTAGAACATTAGACAGTGATAACTTCAACTCAAGTTATCGTGTTTACACACGGACACACACACAGACATACAGACAAGATTGCAAAATTATGTTTTTCCGTATCAGTGAGGTGTAAAACGTCGAAATTTGTAAATATCTCGATTTTTTCTTGCACGATTACAAGACTTTCTCTATATTCCGTATATACGAGAAAGTAAAAACCCACCTTTGAGAGCTGGGCTAGAGTTACAGAACCCACCTTAGAGCTACAGAACCCACCTTAGAGTTACAGAACCAACCTTACAGTTACAGAACCCACCTTACAGTTACAGAACCCACCTTACAGTTACAGAACCCACCTTACAGTTACAGAACCCACCTTAGAGTTACAGAACCCACCTTACAGTTACAGAACCCACCTTTGAGTGCTGGATTAGAGTTACAGAACCCACCTTTGAGTGCTGGATTAGCGTTACAGAACCCACCTTTGAGTGCTGGGCTAGAGTTACAGAACCCACCTTTGAGTTACAGAACCCACCTTAGAGTTACAGAACCCACCTTTAAGAGCTGAGCTAGAGTTACAGAACCCACCTTAGAGGTACAGAACCCACCTTAGAGTTACAGAACCCACCTTAGAGGTACAGAACCCACCTTAGAGTTACAGAACCCACCTTAGAGGTACAGAACCCACCTTAGAGTTACAGAACCCACCTTAGAGGTACAGAACCCACCTTAGAGTTACAGAACCCACCTTAGAGGTACAGAACCCACCTTAGAGTTACAGAACCCACCTTAGAGGTACAGAACCCACCTTAGAGTTACAGAACCCACCTTAGAGGTACAGAACCCACCTTTGAGTTACAGAACCCACCTTTGAGAGCTGGATTAGAGTTACAAATGGCTGACATCAAGAAAGTTGCCTTCATCCTCAGCTTCTCCTCCTCACTGTGTAGGGCCCTGACCAGAACACTGAGACCATCGTAGGCCATCAGCTGGAGCTGGGCTTCTGAGTTGCTGCGTACTAGACCTGGGGAACACATGGGTTAAATCTTTATGTCAGTTGCTGCGTACTAGACCTGGGGAACACATGGGTTAAATCTTTATGACAGTTTGTTAAATCTCTATGACAGTTACTGCGTACTAGACCAGGGGAACACATGGGTTAAATCTCTATGACAGTTACTGCGTACTAGACCTGGGGAACACATGGGTTAAATCTCTATGACAGTTACTGCGTACTAGACCTGGGGAACACATGGGTTAAATCTCTATGACAGTTACTGCGTACTAGACCTGGGGAACACATGGGTTAAATCTCTATGACAGTTACTGCGTACTAGACCAGGGGAACACATGGGTTAAATCTCTATGACAGTTACTGCGTACTAGACCTGGGGAACACATGGGTTAAATCTCTATGACAGTTACTGCGTACTAGACCTGGGGAACACATGGGTTAAATCTCTATGTTAGTTGCTGCACACCTGGGGAACACATGGGTTAAATCTCTATGACAGTTACTGCGTACTAGACCTGGGGAACACATGGGTTAAATCTCTATGACAGTTACTGCGTACTAGACCTGGGGAACACATGGGTTAAATTTGTATGACAGTTACTGCGTACTAGACCTGGGGAACACATGGGTTAAATTTGTATGACAGTTACTGCGTACTAGACCTGGGGAACACATGGGTTAAATCTCTATGACAGTTACTGCGTACTAGACCTGGGGAACACATGGGTTAAATCTCTATGACAGTTACTGCGTACTAGACCTGGGAAAAATGTTAAATTTGTATGACAGTTACTGCGTACTAGACCTGGGGAACACATGGGTTAAATCTCTATGACAGTTACTGCGTACTAGACCTGGGGAACACATGGGTTAAATCTCTATGTCAGTTACTGCACACCTGGGGAACACATGGGTTAAATCTCTATGACAGTTACTGCGTACTAGACCTGGGGAACACATGGGTTAAATCTCTATGACAATTTGTTAAATCTTTATGACAGTTACTGCTTACTAGACCTGGGGAAATGTTTAATTTGTATGACAGTTGCTGAAAACTTGATGCATTTAAATACAATATTTTAAATGTTGACGTTGTTAAATATTTACATGGAATAATTAGGTTATACACAAAACATGACAAATGACAAAACTAAAGTTGTAAGGTGATGAAGTAGGGTGATGGGGGGGTGGGGGTGGGGGAGGGGGGGGGGGGGAGGGTTCAGGAACGTCTGGTCTTGGATTTATGCTATGTATGGAGAACTGGAATCACAAGTTTACTAAAATAAATAAAATAAACTTATCAACTCTACTTTAACTGCCACATGGACCGTCAGGTTCACAAACAGAATTATATCTATATAACAGCATTAAAAACAATTAAAAAATGTTTTATGTCAAAAATGTGCAATCTTACATGAGACAGCATAGAGGGCTTTAACTTGCACCAGTGGGTTAGGATCTGTGTCCACCAGCATGAGAATGGCAGGAAGAAGTTTTAAGGTCAGAAGCGCGGTCTGACCAGTGGGGTTGTTTTGTGCGATGTTACCCAGCAGCTCCAGACACCTCCACCTTAGCTCACTCACCTCACTGCTCAGGAGCTTAGGCACTACACGAAGTCCATTGATTTTGATGAAATCTACACAGATGTTAAAACACACAGATACAAGGAAAATGAATGATTGTTTATTTTAAAATATTATAAATGACATGATTAAATAAATGAGTACTGATGGCCAAGCTAAGACTATCACCTTAACAGACAATTATCAACTCAAAAGATGACCTTTACCCCAAGAGATGACCTACCCCTAGAGATGACCATTACCCCAAAAGATGACCTTTCCACAAGAGATGACCTTTACCCAAGAGATGACCTTTACCCAAGAGATGACCTTTACCCAAGAGATGACCTTTACCCCAAGAGATGGCCTTTACCCAAAAGATGACCATTACCCAAGGGATGACCTTTACCCAAGAGATGACCTCTACCCAAGAGATGACCTTGACCCCAGTACCTCCAGCTATGTCCAGATCCTCTGCCCAGTCCTGGAGCTCTGTTATAGCCTGCACCTGCTGCTCAGTGCCTGCCTCAGTGTCTGGCACAGCTTCCTCTATAGACTTGACACACAGCTGCATGCGCTCCACAGGGCTCACTGTCATGGACGTCAGCGCCTCTTCCAGCCATTTCTTTCTCTACAGGTCAACGCAAATTTTAACCATATAACAATAGTTAAGCAGAATATGAGAGCGAAAATTAGGCTAGTCTTAGCTAAAATATTTCTTACATGTCATTGAACAGACAGCATGGGGGGGAAAATTGCTTAAGGACATGAAGTCTTAGCTATAGCGCTGGTAAATAGGGCCCCAACCAGTTCTATGGCTCATGCAGGTTTTATTGAGCCATAGAACTGGTTGGTAACCTACTTACCAGCCCTATTGTCAATGAACATTTGTCATAAAAAAACAATATCTGTTTTTATATTTTATCTACAATATTTCTTACATCTTCTGTCATTGCTTCAAATATTTCTGGATTGGAGGAGTTGGGCGCATCTTCACTTCTAGTGGCCTCCATACAAAATCTCAATAGACCTTTTAAATTCTTCACCGGGGCAGGGTTAGACTGTTCTTGGTTAGACATTTTCTTTTCAATCTGAAGAAAAATTTTGTAAACATGATAGTGAACCCAATAATCTGTCACTAAGTCAGACTAAGTGACTAACTAATCTGATCAATCATAATGTAGGCTAATGATTTAACATCAGGCCTATAAAATTTAAAAATTATGAATCATGTGAATGTGATACAAAATAAAATCTCACCTGCCGCTCTATGCTAGATATATTAATTAATAATTAAAGAAGGCCTATTTTAATCTATTAGTACATTACTATTACTATGATCTACTCTAGTTATTCATCATCATCATTTCCCGTGTGTGCCCAAGACACATGGGGCAGATGAAGTAGAGTTCATCTGCTTCAGAGACCTCGGCATATGAACGGATAGTAGATATATCTAGATATTTAAAATTTTAAACATTGTCGTCCGCTTCTTGCCGCTCCCATTTTTTAATGCACAGTCAGAGCATATAAAAACTTAAACATAGGTCAGTATACATTTTGAGCCGTCCCACTTTTACTCACCAAGTCTACATCGTGACAAGACACTGCGCGACCTTAATATCATACTACCTGATTGGGTTTTTTTAAGGGGAAAAAGTATACCCGCAAGCCCCGTCATTAAAGGTCAACATCTCGTGACTGACTTCAATAAGTATATAGCCCTACACCGAATTTTTTTTTCAAAATTACTAACGTGGTCAGGATCAAAAGTGTAACGTTTGATTCAAGAAAGGGAGCAGGTGGTATTGAAACAACACAGCTGTTTCTTTATAAATAAGCGAGCCGACCCGCGGCATATCATATGCCGCTATTTAGTTGTTTTATTTTCTACTTTTCAGTAATTCATAATTTGTGAATTTGACAGTACCAATGCTGCCACTGAAAATATTTGCTTTAAAATACTATCAGTAGGTCGTTAAGAATGATACTACACCCACCCTTCTTTCCCCCAACCCCTACCCTCCTTTCCCCCAAACCCTACCGTGCAGCCCCCCCCCCCCCCGTGAAAGCAGCCTCCTCTTAGTTACCTCCCCTAAGTTTAAAATCGTTTCAAACTAAATTATCTGCCCCTAATAGCAGGTACTAAACCCGGCTCTACGAATGTAAACATTCAGCGTGAACCACAGCTCACCAGACCACGAAGGGGTGGTAATGAGCGCCCTTATAGCTTGTTTTCTAGCGTCTCCCAGAAGAAAATTATATATATAGATTATACAGGAAATTTGTAATCTCATTACTTAATTAATTAAAATTATTGCTAATGAAAATAGAAGGAAAATAAAGGAAATAGTTTATTTATTTAGTTTATTAGTTCAATTGTATTAAGGCACGATACACAACACTATAAATGTGTGGTATGTGGCCTGACCTATTAAATATATTATTGTTTTGAGTTTATATTTAATTCAATACAACAAACCCGCTGGTTGATTGAGGCTACACCGGGAATGTGTTATGCTATGTAATAAAACAAATTTACTTAGCAACAATACATGTTTGTTCCACACAAAAGAAATAAGTTGATCTATCGTCGGCGGTATTTCAGACGGTTTCGAACAAAGTGGTATTCTAAGTCGACACAAAAGATGGTGAAGTTGACAAATCATCAGAATGTCTAGCAACGGAAAAATCTGAAGTTTTATAACAATGTGTAAACGAAATGTTTTTGAAGTCTGCAACGATTATCAAGTAAAATTGGTCGCAGTAAAATTTTTGCAGATAGCTTTGCATCCTACCACAACCCTGCGTAAGTATTGGGTGGTGGTAAAATGTGAGGCCAAAATGTCATTTCATTTACCGCCTCGCCATTTTGCGATTTGCAATTTCCCAACACCCTCATCAAGGGTGAGTGACAATAAATATTAAATTAAGTAAATTAGTCTAAAAGTTTGAAACAAACTAAAAACTTCAAAATTAGTGCCTGGGCCTAATGATTCTTAATAAATTCTTAATGAATGGATTAAATGTAAATTATTACCAACTAAATATTCTGGTAATCTATAGCTTTAGGTACGTAAAATCGCCTGCGACTAGTAGTAATGTGAAAAACAAAAATGTTTCAGTTTCATATAGGGCCTATGTACCTGTTTTTAAACAATTGAATTAAAACTTTTCAGTAATAAATGAAGACTAGCAATGTTTCCAATAGATGCAACCATGCTCATTTATTATAGCAGCCATCTTGATTAAGTTTTTTTTTTTTGTAAACTTATAAGTTATAGCGCGAGATTCAGGAGAAGACACTCTATTTTACAAATGGCTGCTGTTTATAGTTAATATATATATAGCAAATCTTGCTCGCAAACACTGCTGTTTAGAGTTAATTTCTGGCTTATATTAGGCCTATAGGCCAATGCTAGCCGGAATAAGATGCGCATGCGCAATGGAGAGAAAATACAACTTGCCATCGTGGCGATGTTTTCGATGGTACAGCGCATGTGTGTGTTTACAACGCAGAACCCTAATACCAACCCTAATCCTAGCCCTATTCCTAACCCTCATTCTAGCCCTAACCCTAGGTCACTGCGCATGCGCAGAGCTATCTTTTGCCGACTAAGTGGAGACGGGGAGAAAAATCTTCTTCTGAGTAGTCACTTCGTATATTATATTGAATTGATAGGCCTATAATCAGAAAATTAATATTTAGACATTTATTTAGGTTTATTATTGAAATTTATTGAGGATTCATTTTTTATCTATAGAATAGAATAAATAGATCTACTTATTGACTTATTGCCTATATCACAATTCAATATGCTTCTATCTATTACTATTAACTATTAAAGTATTAAAGCCTTGACAATGAGTAACTTTTTCGTACATTACAAACATTACATTACTTCAATACTATGACTATGATTACTAGCCGCGGACGATTTTACGTAGATTCTAGGCTCTAGGCCTACCTAAAAAACGATTATACGATAGATTACGGTAATCTATCGTTTTGGGTACGTAAAATCGCCCGCGATTTGTAATGTGAAAAACAGGTGACTCCTTAAATTTTAATAATTATTTCACATTTTGAGGAGGATTTATGTTTTAAAAAATTCAAAAATGTTTCCTTGATTTATTTATGTACCTGTTTTTAAACAATTGAATTAAAACTTTTCCGTAATAAATGAAGACTAACGATGTTTCCAACAGATGCAATCATGCTCATTTACTATAGCAGCCATCTTGTCTAAGTTTTATTTTTATAAGCTTTTAGCGCCAGATTCAGGGGGAAGTCACTCTATTTTACAAATGGCTGCTGTTTATATAATTATATAGCAAATCTTGCTCTCAGACACTGCTGTTTAAAGTTAATTTCTGGCCTATATCGATATATTTAGCCATTGATTTAGGTTTATTATTCATTTATCTATAATATTTGACACAAAAGTATGACAATATACTTCTATTAAAGCCTTGACAATGAGGTAACGTTTTCGTACATAAATAGCCGCGGGCGATTTTACGTACCCAAAACGATAGATTACCTAGATTACCAATATTCTAAAAATTAAATAATGCTACTGTACCTAAATCTAAATCGAGATGATGACGATTGTAGCACAGGTCAATGCAGTCGATGCTAAACTTAACACTAAACTAGCGCTAGACTAGAAGTTTCTAGGACTTCTGGAAAAAAAAAACGTTGTTAGTAACTAGGCCTAGTCTACTTTCGGTGTTTAGTTATATTGTTGTAGCTCTCTAAATATAAAGTTCAAATTTTTATCAAAGACAAACCTAACTCCTCAACCAAATTACTTATTGTGGTCTAAAAATAAATGCTGATCAGTGTGCCCAAAATAGATCCAATTGGATTTTTCATTACTCACTCGAAACATCTTTGTCTTTACTTATTCTTATGATATGCAGAATTTGTGACATAGCATGCACAATCTCTAAAGCTATTGTAAGTATTTTTTTTTATTTATCAATTTTTTACTTATCAACAGCAATAATAATAATTTATTAATGAATAATCTATATGACGATATTAAATTAATTAATTGAAGTTAGGGCCCTATATTATAATAATTATATTAATCATTAATGTACATTCTAGACTCTAGCTAGTAAGAATACTAGAATCTAGATCTAATACTAGGGTTGTCGGCATCCGCCGAGTTCGCGGTAAAAACATGACCCGAAATCGCCCATTACTTTCTGATACCGGACCCACGAGATTTGGTTTTGCATACTAATAAGTTTTTAATTTATGGTAATTAATTAAGTTTAAAAGGTCATTTCCTAAGGTTAATTAAAAAGAAGAGTGGTTATCCCTTAGTTTTAATGGCTTTGCGACCTGATTGCATGCTGTCTCTGCTTTGGTCTTCCCTCTGTATCAAGGTTAGTTTCAAATACGTTGGAATCTCGATTTTTTAAAAGATTCCTCTAGATGAGAGTAGATTACTGATCAGACATATCTTAAGTAATTGGAAATGAAATTTGTTTTTGGATATTTTGACTCCGACATTAGTTATACCCCTCCGAACGTAGTCACTGTATGTAGGTCACGCTGCCACCATTGTTATATTTTTTCATCCCGATCTTCCTGCCTTTAAGTTTGATCAACTAATAACAGCATTCTTATGGCATGTGCAAACAAATCTAATTTTTTATTTCAAAATATATTTACATACCCATCTTTAATTTTTTCAGCTCTAGTTCTAGTTTTGCAGAATATGTTTTTCCTAAAAATCCAATTTTGTCAGACTAGACTCTAGACTGACGAGAGTCAGACCTAGATCTAGGTTACCTGTCTGTTGCTATACACTAGCATTGTGCTAACTGTAATTTTAAGTATTCAAGTTCTACTTACCCTTAGATATAGTTATATGCTGAAAATCAGAATCCATACACAATTCACACATAAAAACATTGATCTGATAACTTCATTTCACTTATTACAAAATGGCTTTTATATGGACTCTACTTCACCTGCCCAAAATAACAAGGCAGTTATAGACACATTACAGTGTTCAAGTCATTTACTTTAGATTTCTGACTATGGAGTTCTTTCATTCACTGTATTTATATAAAATATTGCTTTAGAAACATTTTCATATTTGCGCAGCAGTTTTATAACAAAATGGCTTAAAGATGGACTCTACTTCACCTGCCCAAAATAATGAGGCAATTATATGCACATAACAGTGTTCAAGTCATTTACTTTAGATTTCTAACTTTGTAGTTCTTTCATTTGCTGTATTTATATAAAATATGGCTTTAGAAACATTTTCATATTTGCGCAGCACACAGTTTTTTGGGGTTATGGGAGGAAGCCAACACAAAAATATAAGTTCTGTATTATTTTTATTAATTTCAACAGCATTTACAAGTTCTATATATCATTCTAGTTAAACTCTGCAAATATGAACAAAATACAACTGCAAGTAAAATAACTATGCTCAATTTATTCAGGTATACCATGACTTGTCACAATTGGCCAATGCTAAAGCAAGGGGATTCCACCCCTCACAAAGAAATTCGCAAAAAAAAAACTATTTGAGCTAGACAAAAAATCTTTTTTGTTTTGTTTTCATTTTGTTGAGCTCTACAAGAATATGTAATTTTTATTTTTATATGATGATTAGTGTTTTTTTACCTAAATCCCTACTAATACTTTAATACTCAGGCCCTACTTAATCTTAATACTATTTTCTAACTAGATCTAGAATATCTTGATCTAGTACGATATATTAATCATGCTATTACTATTATTGTTATTTAAAATTTAAAAAATAAATAAAAAAGTAGGCCTAAATACTAAATACTAAATAGTCTAATAGTAATTGTAAATTGTATAAGTAGTATAACTATCGGCCTAATAGCTCTACCTATAGAACAGATTGATGTATGTATAATAACTATAGTATTACTTCGTATTGATTACTGCGAATGATGTATAAAAAAATAATTAGGCCTACGTGGGAGTGGTGGGTCGGTGAGGGGGGGGGGGACAAAACGTGTGAAGTCACATTTCGTCAATAATAAAATATTATTTGTTAACTTAGTTTGACTCATGGTTAGCATTTGTAAAGACTTTAGTACAAATTCTAAATTAAATTTAATGTTAAGGACCCCGGCAAATTAATATGATAAAAGTTATTTGAAAATATCTGTGGTGTTTTAAAAAATGTAGGCCTAAATACAAAGTGGCTGTGGTCAGTAATGTTTAAAAACTGGGACGTTTTTTTTTCGATTGTCTGGAGAAAAGCAGGGTGTTGGGTATGCCTTCCTATGACTCTGAATGACGATGGGTGGGGTGTAGAGCTAAATCATAAAAACGGCCTGACAACTACATCATTTAGCGTATATTGCATTAGCAATTTAATTATTAAGAATTAAGAAAAGTCTAGTCTAAGTTAAAAGTCTGATATTATTTGTAGTAAAAATCAAGAAAACAGACAATTTAGTTGTGAATTAGCTACTATATTGTTCTGTGTGGGGTAAATCGTTTTTCTTGGGATATATTCTTTGTAATATTCTTTTATTTAACGAAATCCTTCTTTGTGAACTCAATGGCTGAGTTCACCCAGCTGATGTTGGTGTGTGCAACAGCTGATGTTGCTGTGTGCAACAGCTGATGTTTGTGTGGGAAAAAGTTGGTGTGGGTAACAGCTGATGTTGGTGTGTGTAACAGCTGATGTTGGTGTGGGGAAAAGTTGGTGTGGGAAACAGCTGATGTTGGTGTGGGCAACAGCTGATGTTGCTGTGGGCAACAGCTGATGTTGCTGTGGGAAAAAGTTGGTGTGGGCAACAGCTGATGTTGGTGTGGGCAACAGCTGATGTTGGTGTGGATAACAGCTGATGTTGGTGTGGGCAACAGCTGATGATGGTGTGGGCAACAGCTGATGTTGCTGTGGGCAACAGCTGATGTGGGTAACAGCTGATGATGGTGTGGGCAACAGCTGATGTTGCTGTGGGAAACAGTTGATGATGGTGTGGGCAACAGCTGATGTTGGTGTGGGCAACAGCTGATGTTGCTGTGGGCAACAGCTGATGTGGGTAACAGCTGATGATGGTGTGGGAAACAGCTGATGTTGGTGTGGGGACGATCAATTGTATTACTTCTTACTCATCTTCTCTCATCCTCCATCATTTTAGACCCACAGATGTATTTAAATGGAAAGGCTTATACCGTGCCCATTAAATTTGAACCCCTCTACATCGGCCTAAATTAAATCTAATTTAAATCTATCCTTTTCACTCAGAAAAAACACATTTATTGAACTAAATCGTTTAGTTCAAAGCCAACCTAATGTTGGTTAATCGTAACCAAATTTTGATTATGAAAAATTTCCAACAATCCCATCGTGTTCTATACAATGACCATGATATGACTTCATTTGCTTAATTACTGTGAACCATGATTAGACAATACTCTAGGTTATTTAATTTTTAATATCAATGTTTCGCCAACAGAATATAAAAAAGGGTGATGTTTAAATGAAATGTGAATTTGAAAATGGCAGCCAAGGATTTTACTGAAAAAACAGATGTAACAGATCATTTTAGAGGTATGTTAGTTATCTAGGCATAATCTAGCATAATTAGAGCACACACAAAAAATAGGTAAGAGAATTTCAGAATTGAAAAAGCTATTTTTTTTTGCCCCGGAAGTCAATTTAAATATTACATTATTTTTTTTTCAATAGCTTGGTGTTTATGAGAACATGTTACCTTTTTGTGCGCATTTGTATGTATGCTTTATAAATTATAATTATAAACAGTGACAGCATGTGTATAATACTTTAGTAATTCTTTATAATAATAAAATTTAAGTTTATTTAATATATTTACCTCAACAGGAACCCATGAGGTACAGGAATGTCTGAAAGGCCAAACTGAGGCAGATCTACACACACACGTGGCAAACTGTAAGAAAAATCCTGGCCATACAGGGTTTATTCCTGTAAAAAAGTTTAGAAAAGAACATCTTCCTCCCGGTTACCAGGATAGTGACATCTATGACGTCATTAATGCCTTTAGTTACCTAACTGTCAGGATAGCCGTTAAGTTTACAAGTACAAACAGACCGGAAGTTGTGTTTTGTACTAAAGATCCATATCCTTTCTACAATATCAGGGGGAAAAACGTATTAAGAACAGGAACAGGGGCAGTATGGATGGTGAGACGTATAAAGGATACAACTTGTCCATGTCCGGAATGCAAAAGCTCTGCCAGGCCACAGAACAAATGGTGTCAGGTGTGGGTGTCGACAGCCAGACACGTGATCTTTGACTCAACTGAGGCGAGACAGTCCAGCTGTAGGTTATGGTTTGATGATGATCAAAGTCCAGTGGTCAAGATTTATGGATGGAAGGCGTGTGGGATATCAACAACTGACCAAGATTTCTGTATGTTGGTTTGTGTAACCCACGACTTAGAAATTGGGCAAAAACTGTTGAATGTAATTTGGAGGTTTGAGGAAGTGTGGGGTAAAGTACAGAAAAAATACGCCAGTAAGAATGAGGTGGACAAGGTGGCCATTATAGTGTCACATCCTCATGGTTGTTCTAAGCAGGTCTCTGTAGGTCACTGGGTACACAGGCAAGATGTACCTAGATCCCCCGGTTACACCAGGTACACGTACACAACTTGTACATGCCCAGGTAGCAGTGGGGCTTCTGTATACAGGCTGGGGTGGACTGACCATAAACACACGGGGGTCAACTCTAGTGGCATTAACTACAGCACTGCCCAAATGGATTGTGATTTTAGTTTTACTGGAGAAAATCTGCACATTAAACGTTTGCGCGAGGGGAATATGGAAAATATTGATTGGATTTTATCTTTGTCTGATGATAAATTACAGTCTTTGTTGAAATATTAGCATTTGTGTTTAGCCTTTCGGGACTAGAGAATATCTAATGCAGGGAGGCATTAATTAACAACAGTGAAATTTCGTGTTACTATTTAACCGATGTCATGTTTATCAAACAATTTTTTTAATAAAAAATACATAAAAACGTTTATAATTACAAGCTTTTATAAATGCACTAAAAAGAAGAAAATAATACTATTTTTATTAAATCTAATATATAAAGCTCAGTTCTGTATGTAATGCATTTGTATGTCGTTGGAATTGTACGATTTTAAGTGTTAGAAAAATTATCGTGCGCATTTGTCTAAATTTATGAGCTAAAAAATTACTATTGAAAGTGTTGGGAAATAATTTTCATTTTTCAAATTATAGTAATAATTGTCGGCATGTTCATTAAACACAAGTTTTAAAAAAAATATCATCTTTTACAAAAATTCTAATTATGTCTTTATTTAGTTCTATAGCACTTACTTCCCTTTGATAAATTAGGAAAAACACAATTACTTCCCTTTATAAAACCTTTGCATTCCGTGAAAATAATTTACTTTTTAATTACTTTGTTTTGGTGTTGGGAAAAAAAATAATTACATAATTAGCGGGGATTGATCAAGTGCAAATGTTGTAGGTATTTTACGGATAAGCTTGGAGTATTAAAATTGTTTATTAAATTGAAACAGGCGCGTTCGTTTAAGTGAGTGCAAAAGACTGTGAATAAGTTGGGGTACTATAGTCGTTCATTAAGCTAAAACAGGTGATTCCGCCCCGGGCGTTTATGTTCGCGTTAGTGTTTTCTTTGTGTTTAGGTGGGTTTGCGTTAGTGGTTGCGTTTTAATTTGGTTCGTTTTTGTTCTTTCTTTTTTCGTTTTTGTTTGTGTTTTTTTTGTTTGGGTTTGTATTTGTGTTTTTGGTTGGTTTTGCGTTTGGATTTGGTTTGTTTTCGTTTGCTTTTTTCGTTGATTTTTTTTTTGTTGGTATTGGTGTTTGTGGTTGGGTTTGTTGTTAGGTTTTTGTTTTCGTTTGCTTTTTTGTTTGTTTTTTCTTTGTGTTTGTATTGGTGTTTGTGGGTGTGGTTGTGTTTGTTGTTAAGTTTTTGTTTTCGTTTGTATTTGTAATTGTGTTAGCGTTATGTTTGCGTTTTGTTGTTTTGGTTTTGGTTGGTTGTGGTTTGGGTGGGCAATGCCGGGTTTATGATGATTACTAAACACACAGGTAATGGTCTTTAACAGAAAGGTTTTTCACAGAAGCCAGAGCAGGGCCTGGCCGGGACGGCTAGTCTAATATATAAAGCTCAGTTCTGTATGTAATGCATTTGTATGTCGTTGGAATTGTACGATTTTAAGTGTTAGAAAAATTATCGTGCGCATTTGTCTAAATTTATGAGCTAAAAAATTACTATTGAAAGTGTTGGGAAATAATTTTCATTTTTCAAATTATAGTAATAATTGTCGGCATGTTCATTAAACACAAGTTTTAAAAAAAATATCATCTTTTACAAAAATTCTAATTATGTCTTTATTTAGTCCTATAGCACTTACTTCCCTTTGATAAATTAGGAAAAACACAATTACTTCCCTTTATAAAACCATTGCATTCCGTGAAAATAATTTACTTTTTAATTACTTTGTTTTGGTGTTGGGAAAAAAAATAATTACATAATTAGCGGGGATTGATCAAGTGCAAATGTTGTAGGTATTTTACGGATAAGCTTGGAGTATTAAAATTGTTTATTAAATTGAAACAGGCGCGTTCGTTTAAGTGAGTGCAAAAGACTGTGAATAAGTTGGGGTACTATAGTTGTTCATTAAGCTAAAACAGGTGATTCCGCCCCGGGCGTTTATATTCGCGTTAGTGTTTTCTTTGTGTTTAGGTGGGTTTGCGTTAGTGGTTGCGTTTTAATTTGGTTCGTTTTTGTTCTTTCTTTTTTCGTTTTTGTTTGTGTTTTTTTTGTTTGGGTTTGTATTTGTGTTTTTGGTTGGTTTTGCGTTTGGATTTGGTTTGTTTTCGTTTGCTTTTTTCGTTGATTTTTTTTTGTTGGTATTGGTGTTTGTGGTTGGGTTTGTTGTTAGGTTTTTGTTTTCGTTTGCTTTTTGTTTGTTTTTTTCTTTGTGTTTGTATTGGTGTTTGTGGGTGTGGTTGTGTTTGTTGTTAAGTTTTTGTTTTCGTTTGTATTTGTAATTGTGTTAGCGTTATGTTTGCGTTTTGTTGTTTTGGTTTTGGTTGGTTGTGGTTTGGGTGGGCAATGCCGGGTTTATGATGATTACTAAACACACAGGTAATGGTCTTTAACAGAAAGGTTTTTCACAGAAGCCAGAGCAGGGCCTGGCCGGGACGGCTAGTCTAATATATAAAGCTCAGTTCTGTATGTAATGCATTTGTATGTCGTTGGAATTGTACGATTTTAAGTGTTAGAAAAATTATCGTGCGCATTTGTCTAAATTTATGAGCTAAAAAATTACTATTGAAAGTGTTGGGAAATAATTTTCATTTTTCAAATTATAGTAATAATTGTCGGCATGTTCATTAAACACAAGTTTTAAAAAAAATATCATCTTTTACAAAAATTCTAATTATGTCTTTATTTAGTCCTATAGCACTTACTTCCCTTTGATAAATTAGGAAAAACACAATTACTTCCCTTTATAAAACCATTGCATTCCGTGAAAATAATTTACTTTTTAATTACTTTGTTTTGGTGTTGGGAAAAAAAATAATTACATAATTAGCGGGGATTGATCAAGTGCAAATGTTGTAGGTATTTTACGGATAAGCTTGGAGTATTAAAATTGTTTATTAAATTGAAACAGGCGCGTTCGTTTAAGTGAGTGCAAAAGACTGTGAATAAGTTGGGGTACTATAGTTGTTCATTAAGCTAAAACAGGTGATTCCGCCCCGGGCGTTTATATTCGCGTTAGTGTTTTCTTTGTGTTTAGGTGGGTTTGCGTTAGTGGTTGCGTTTTAATTTGGTTCGTTTTTGTTCTTTCTTTTTTCGTTTTTGTTTGTGTTTTTTTTGTTTGGGTTTGTATTTGTGTTTTTGGTTGGTTTTGCGTTTGGATTTGGTTTGTTTTCGTTTGCTTTTTTCGTTGATTTTTTTTTGTTGGTATTGGTGTTTGTGGTTGGGTTTGTTGTTAGGTTTTTGTTTTCGTTTGCTTTTTGTTTGTTTTTTTCTTTGTGTTTGTATTGGTGTTTGTGGGTGTGGTTGTGTTTGTTGTTAAGTTTTTGTTTTCGTTTGTATTTGTAATTGTGTTAGCGTTATGTTTGCGTTTTGTTGTTTTTGGTTGGTTGTGGTTTGGGTGGGCAATGCCGGGTTTAGGATGATTACTAAACACACAGGTAATGGTCTTTAACAGAAAGGTTTTTCACAGAAGCCAGAGCAGGGCCTGGCCGGGACGGCTAGTCTAATATATAAAGCTCAGTTCTGTATGTAATGCATTTGTATGTCGTTGGAATTGTACGATTTTAAGTGTTAGAAAAATTATCGTGCGCATTTGTCTAAATTTATGAGCTAAAAAATTACCATTGAAAGTGTTGGGAAATAATTTTCATTTTTCAAATTACAGTAATAATTGTCGGCATGTTCATTAAACACAAGTTTTAAAAAAAATATCATCTTTTACAAAAATTCTAATTATGTCTTTATTTAGTCCTATAGCACTTACTTCCCTTTGATAAATTAGGAAAAACACAATTACTTCCCTTTATAAAACAATTGCATTCCGTGAAAATAATTTACTTTTTAATTACTTTGTTTTGGTGTTGGGAAAAAAAATAATTACATAATTAGCGGGGATTGATCAAGTGCAAATGTTGTAGGTATTTTACGGATAAGCTTGGAGTATTAAAATTGTTTATTAAATTGAAACAGGCGCGTTCGTTTAAGTGAGTGCAAAAGACTGTGAATAAGTTGGGGTACTATAGTCGTTCATTAAGCTAAAACAGGTGATTCCGCCCCGGGCGTTTATGATCGCGTTAGTGTTTTCTTTGTGTTTAGGTGGGTTTGCGTTAGTGGTTGCGTTTTAATTTGGTTCGTTTTTGTTCTTTCTTTTTTCGTTTTTGTTTGTGTTTTTTTTTGTTTGGGTTTGTATTTGTGTTTTTGGTTGGTTTTGCGTTTGGATTTGGTTTGTTTTCGTTTGCTTTTTTCGTTGATTTTTTTTTGTTGGTATTGGTGTTTGTGGTTGGGTTTGTTGTTAGGTTTTTGTTTTCGTTTGCTTTTTGTTTGTTTTTTTCTTTGTGTTTGTATTGGTGTTTGTGGGTGTGGTTGTGTTTGTTGTTAAGTTTTTGTTTTCGTTTGTATTTGTAATTGTGTTAGCGTTATGTTTGCGTTTTGTTGTTTTTGGTTGGTTGTGGTTTGGGTGGGCAATGCCGGGTTTAGGATGATTACTAAACACACAGGTAATGGTCTTTAACAGAAAGGTTTTTCACAGAAGCCAGAGCAGGGCCTGGCCGGGACGGCTAGTCTAATATATAAAGCTCAGTTCTGTATGTAATGCATTTGTATGTCGTTGGAATTGTACGATTTTAAGTGTTAGAAAAATTATCGTGCGCATTTGTCTAAATTTATGAGCTAAAAAATTACCATTGAAAGTGTTGGGAAATAATTTTCATTTTTCAAATTACAGTAATAATTGTCGGCATGTTCATTAAACACAAGTTTTAAAAAAAATATCATCTTTTACAAAAATTCTAATTATGTCTTTATTTAGTCCTATAGCACTTACTTCCCTTTGATAAATTAGGAAAAACACAATTACTTCCCTTTATAAAACAATTGCATTCCGTGAAAATAATTTACTTTTTAATTACTTTGTTTTGGTGTTGGGAAAAAAAATAATTACATAATTAGCGGGGATTGATCAAGTGCAAATGTTGTAGGTATTTTACGGATAAGCTTGGAGTATTAAAATTGTTTATTAAATTGAAACAGGCGCGTTCGTTTAAGTGAGTGCAAAAGACTGTGAATAAGTTGGGGTACTATAGTCGTTCATTAAGCTAAAACAGGTGATTCCGCCCCGGGCGTTTATGATCGCGTTAGTGTTTTCTTTGTGTTTAGGTGGGTTTGCGTTAGTGGTTGCGTTTTAATTTGGTTCGTTTTTGTTCTTTCTTTTTTCGTTTTTGTTTGTGTTTTTTTTTGTTTGGGTTTGTATTTGTGTTTTTGGTTGGTTTTGCGTTTGGATTTGGTTTGTTTTCGTTTGCTTTTTTCGTTGATTTTTTTTTGTTGGTATTGGTGTTTGTGGTTGGGTTTGTTGTTAGGTTTTTGTTTTCGTTTGCTTTTTGTTTGTTTTTTTCTTTGTGTTTGTATTGGTGTTTGTGGGTGTGGTTGTGTTTGTTGTTAAGTTTTTGTTTTCGTTTGTATTTGTAATTGTGTTAGCGTTATGTTTGCGTTTTGTTGTTTTTGGTTGGTTGTGGTTTGGGTGGGCAATGCCGGGTTTAGGATGATTACTAAACACACAGGT